CAAACTTTATTTCAAGCATAAAAGATTGCACTTGATGTAAAATAATGGTTGTGAGGATGTAAAAATAATGTTTTTTCGAGGCACTATTAAGGAATGGTCGTGATCAGGTTTCATGCAGGAATTAGAAAAAAAAATTTCATTTCACAAATCACAAATTTAGAAGGGGAAAACTATAAATCTAGATTTACCATTCCTTTCTTCAAAATTCACATGTCACATGAATCAAGTTTTAAACTTTTTGGCATCTTCTTTAGAAAGTTGAATTTAATTGAAACATTTTGTTATGTGCATTATCCCAATAGGCAGCAGCTGAAAATGTCACTTTTTGTTATTGTGTGAACTTTGAGAGAGGCTTGAATTATTTGATTACTTAAACTTTGTGAAATACTTTCATTGATGGTGGTTACATAATTGAACTCTTCTTGATATTTATAAATCCCTCATGGCACCTTTTATAACATATATGCATTAACTTCTTGGAGAACTGCATCTAAGACCTTGTTAAATAGTATTCTTGTCTCACAAAAACGCGTACTCCGTCTTATCCACTTTGCCCCAGTAAGGGAGCATGCAATACCCTTTTTTTTAAAAGCAAAACTTCTTCCACTAGAATTCCGATATTATGAAAAAATTGCTAATCTAATGAATGACATTAATACTACTTCTGCACCAAGTAATATTTCGAATTTGTTTCTAAAATTTCCAGCGTTCACTCTTACGGCACACATTCATCAACTTTTGAGCATTTTTATACTAAAAAATCTGCGCTTAATGTTCAAAGTAAGGCTTTTTCACGTATTGGCATTAAAATCTGGAATGGGATATCAACTAGTCTTAAAAACTTATCCAAGAACTCTTTTAAAAAATCCATTAGAACAAAATTGAAGTTCTAGAAACTGAAAACTCCTATGTTGAAATAGATACTCTAATTAATAAGATGAAAGTTAACTTCTAACTGTAATTATGTTTAGTCTGTAGTCGACTCCTAGAAAGGTCAAATAGATACTTAAATTAATACTTGATGAAAGGTTAATTTCTAACTGTAATTTGTTTAGTCGCTAGTCTCTTTCTAAGTCTGTAGTTTTCCTTTTTCTGCTCTCATGTTGTAATTGTATGTGAATATTATTATGTAAAATTGAGTAAAATTACTTTTCAATTGTCTGGCTTGCTGCAACTAGCTCTTCGCTATTTGCAAGCCAGCATAGTAATAACCACCTGATATTTACTTGGAAATAAAAACTTGGAACTTGGAACATACTCTTATTCTGTTTAAGTATATATCTGTATCCGTCATATCTGTAGGCATATTCTTGTATTAAATATTTTCTTTGGTACTGAGAAGGAGAATACACATTCAAATTTCTTAGTTTGGCCATCATTTCCTTTATTCTCGTGGTCTTTATAATGAATCAGAATGATTCAACCGTAGTACTATAAGGAAAAATTAGATACTGATAACTCTTGGGATTTAAAGAAGTAAAAATAAAACTTGCCACAAAGCACCTTGGTGTCCACTTTGACTGTGTGGTCAGATAATCATATTAGTATACCAGAGCCCAGTTGTTTGAAGGCCAATTAGTGCTAAACCAAGGATGAATTTTAATGTGGGTTTCTTTATTTTATGTTCAAAAGCCTATTTGGGATTATTTTTCCCTATTCTTTTGCAGCATCCAATTATCAACTTGTAGACAAAAAGAATTCTACTGAAGTTTCTTTTAAAGTTTTCAGATCTTAAATCAGTTTCCACACTAACCCTGGGTTAACTTGACCCTGCTAATTGAACCATACCAGTACATTAAGTTTGAAAAAAGTTAATCAGCAACTTTGGTGTTTCTTTAAAGGAGAGTCTCACCAATGAATATTCAAACTTTGCTGCAGGTTTAATATTTTTCTTTGTTTCAAGCCAGAAGTTTTTTCAATTGTAAAGTTAAGCTAACCCAGATTGTATAATGGATTTAAGTCAAAGTTACAAATAAGTAACAGCAAAGAAAGAAGAAAACTCAGAGTAGGGCTTACTGGTCAAGTGGCTTTTATAATTGTAAAATTGGTTTGAGAGAAGGCATAGGGAGATCCACTCTAAATCCAGAAAGAGCAGAAAGTAATTTTTTTTCTTTGTAGAATATGTTGAATTATCTTTATTCCCACTCCTAACACAGAGGAAATTTTGTTTGAAATCTCCTTCCCCCTTCCCCCTTCCCCCATCCTTGGAAAGAGATTTCATTCCAAGTGACCCTCAAGGGATGAGTAGGGAAATTTCCAGGAGTCACAAACAGTGGACAGGTTTTAAGTTCAACTTTACTCTGTGGCAGTGCAAGTCCCCTGATGAAGATCTCAAGGTTACCTTGGGTCAGTGATGTTCCACTGCATAAGCTCAACAGGGAAGGAATTAATAATTCAGCTAATTTCAGAAATAAGCTGTACACAAGGAATGTCAAGATCCCTGCCCACCAAGAGTAATAAATTTTGCAATACGTTTTCAGTCTTTGTAATACCCCTGTATGATATATTGTCTCTCCATGAAGGTGCTTCCTTCCCCCCAAAGAGAAGATTGATCAGGTAAACAAACTAATTCCCTTCTTGGCAAGCATTATGAAATCTGCTCCTTCTTTGTGATTAAGTGAATGCCCTGGTTTTGATAAGCCAAATGTTTTCCACTTGATAGGTTTATTTATTAATAATTTTACTACAACGCCAGTACTCCGATTCAGAATTCAAATCTCTAGTTATTGAAAAAACAATCTGAATCTTAACGTTACTACTAATACTATGTGTTAAGAATCGTGATAGCTCTTCTTTTATCCACTACTTTTCTGCTGGGAAAGACATCTCGAAACTGAAAGTTGCCGAGAGAGCAGTAATCCATCGTGTACACACTTTTACTACTACGCCGGTACTCCTTCAGAATTCAAATCGGTAGCTATTGGAAAAACAATCTGTATCTTAATGTTACTACTAATAGTATCAGTCAAGAATCTTGATAGCTAGCACATCACGTGAGCACATCACGTGAACCACGTCAGGCTCGACGGACTTTGAACCTGTGGGGGCTTTACACAGGGTAGGGTAGGAAAGGAAAGCGTTTTCCTTTCGGTTTCTCAATCCTATGGAAAACTTCTTTCGAAACTAAAAATTGCTGAGAGTGCACTTTCAAATTCCGAACAAATACTTTTAACTGGGGACTTTTCCCGGCCAAGGACACTCGGCTCCTGGCCAATCAAGCCGGAGTCTTTTATCTAGGGGATTCCCCAAGTAAATTGTGTCGCGAATTAAATCAATCTGCTTTACCCAATTTGCGCATTTCGGCTTGAACATCTACAAGAGTATCATAAGTATTGCGATAGATAGGAATATATTATTTTCCGCCATGGCTGAGAATCTTCTACCCCGAGGAGATGACTTAGCTCAGCAAGAGAATAATGGCTTTGGACCACTTTTCAAGCGTCGTGGAAGAACTGCCGCAATCACTTCAGCTATCATAGGTGTGAGTAGTGGCGCGATGCTATTCTTAGCGGTGAAAGAGGAAGAGAAGAAGACTCACTTCCTGGTATTTACAGCAGCCCTGCTTACCCTCAGTTTCGCTTTCGGGGAGCTATTACGAAGATTGTCCCTGGTGTCGGAAGAGATTCAACACAAACACACGCGACACCAAGGAAAGTGGAAGAGTGTTTTTAAGACAACTTTCACTTTCGACCATGGCGGGTGTATTTCACTCACCGCTATGTTTTCTGCTTTAATCTTGTGTTATCAGCTGTATGAACAATACGAGGTTTTCTCGCGTTCAGATTTCGCCATCTTGTTTTCAGTGAACTGTCTCGTGGTTCCGCAATTGTTGTTCCTTGTGGGTCTTCGACAGCTCTCTCCTGTGGAAACTTCGGATTTGAACGAAAAAGAAAATAAGAACGTGGCCGATGGACTGGCTTGGAGCTACTACTTTGGTTATCTGAAGCTGGTGCTGCCGCATCTGAAAGATCAGATTGCCAAATCAGAGCAATTTCGATACAAGATAAAAAAGAAAAAGCTTTTTATTTTATTGCCCAAAACGTGCTTCACCCATGCTGACATCGTTGACGCAGATCCCAGAGTAAAATGGGCGGGCAATCTGCCAGAGCTTAAGATAAGTAGGGGTGGAATTAAGGACAGAATTTATAAGCATGCGGTTCATAAGATAGAGATGCCCCGCCCAGATGGAACGATGGATGAGTACCACTTTATTCTGGAGTATGCCACATCTCTGATGACCCTTTATGATATGTCTCAGCATGCAGACGCCCCCTTAAGTCGCAAGGAGCGGGATCATCAGGTAGGATAATGTGTGGTATGTTCCCTTTGATTTTTTTTTTTTAAGATGATAGAGGACTATGATCTGATTTCTCTAAAGATTTATAAAGAATGTTGTGACTGGCCATCTTGGATATGATTTTTTGTGGACAGATGCATGTTAAGATATGTGGTTTGTTTACAGTATGCCTTATTTGGTTATCTGCTTAATCAAATATGAAGTGATTTTACTGCCTCTCAGATTTGCCTCCAACATGGCTTGTCGAGTGTTTTAATACAACACAGAGCAACACAAAACAATGCAGTCTAACTGAAACCTTTCTTCCATGTAACTTACAGGTGGTGTTGTTCATCCGAAAATTGAGGGAAATTCTGGATAAGTCTGAAGAATGTAGAGGTAGTTACGAGTTGGTGCCAATTTCAGGAAATGATCCAAATGAGATTGCAAATGTCCTGGTTGGAATGCATAATGCCGCCAACATAGAGGTGCTGGCCGGCAATCATGATCAAGCCAATGGAGTAATCAGACCAGAGTAGTGACAGTTTTATAAAGCAATGTTAATTCATTGTTGAGAACTCTGTAACATGTTACATAAAATTGCTGATGTATCATAGGTAAATGTTACATTCATCTAGGAATTGGGCAGAATTACAAGACCCTTACTTATTTATTTTTTTCTTTTCTAAGTTATTATTAAAGTTTATAAAGAAGGATGACTTGCCATTAAATAGTACTTGTAGAAATACTGATTGTACTCTTTAAACCTTAAACTTCTTGGTTTAATCGACCACCAAAAGGTAAATTGATAATATTTTACCCCTAATATAAATTTGATTGACACATCATAGTATTTCTGTTGTTCTAAACAATCTGGGAGGCCAAAAAGTTTTATGCATGTTTAAGAGAGAGATCAAGTATCCCTGTTCTTTATATGACCAAAAGGGACTTGATCTGTAACTTAATCATGTAGAGAGCCCAAACTAGTTGAACTGAATAAATGAAAATACCATATTATCTTCACATGTGAAAATAACACCATTACTATGGTTGCATAATAAATTGCACCTTTGACAGTGAAAGTGAAATGGTTTGATTTTTCATTGGTGTAAATATAATAAATAGAATATTACATGGCTGCTTAGAAATAGAAAATTTCTCTTCTCATGTTGATATTTTAGCTGTTCGCTTTGCTCACTCATGAAACATTTTTCAACACTTGAAGAGAAGTTTTGTATCTCTGCATGGCCGTGTAGTATTCTCTTTTTATTGGATGAAGATGGTTGTTGCACTCTAATTCTATGAGCATATTATTAAGAATGAAACTCACCACAATGCACTTCATAACTTTGTGCATTCAGTTATTGAATATGGATAATTGTGCTGTTCTGTGCTTCTTTATAATAAAATAATTTATTTGTGTTTTTCTCGTTGCCATGTTCCCACCAACCCACAATTCCTCTATTCGCTCCGACAAAGGGCTAACGCTCGAAACGTCAGCTTTTGTAATCATTATGGTGGCCAATTTACCATTTCAACTTTGTCGATATATCCAAATTATTTCTTTTATAATAAACCCTTGACACCCTAATGTAAGTATGCAGATTCCCCACCGTTTCTATGGTATAATGACAGGGAGAATTTTTTTGACAATCAGGAACTTCTTAAATTGGTTTAACACCTTTTTCTTTCATATCAGAAGTCCTTTCATGCAGTGTAAGATATCTACATTGTACTATCAGTTAAAATTTTCTATTTTCAATAAACAGTAACCACTAAGAAAGATGTAAACTTAGGGAAAGCTTTTAAGTGATCAATTAGCCTTAATTGTAAGATCGTTTTGAAATAATTCATGCGAAGTCCACTCCCCCCTCCTCAAACCCTGCAGGTGCAGAAATTCTTTAAGCCTGCTGTGGATTATTTTGAAATATCCTAATCCTTACTGCTCTCACAAAGACAGTTTTGTTTTGGAATCCCTTCTCCCAAAAAGATTTTTCCTTGGAATAGGTTTTCATTTACCTAATTTATATTTAAGAAAATTAGGGGTATTCTAGATTTCAAGTGATTGAGATGACCTCAAAATAATCCCTAGGGCTTCAAACAAAACCCCATTAAATCCCTGGACCAAACTAAAGTTTGGTTTTATTTTATTCATAGAACTACAAGCCTGGTCAGGTCAATCTTCAGATTGTTTTGAATACCTGAAAAAGCCCTACTCAATTCAAGCTAACCAAAACAAAAAATACTTGACAGAATTTTATTACCTATAAAATCTAGATATTGAAAAATTTCACTAAATACTTCTTTATTTCACAGTATTCTTTCAGTCATGTATTTAATGTCCCTGTGTAATTTTTTCTTTAGGAAGGTGCTCCCTTCCTCCCAAGAGAAAAGTGATAACCTTAAATAATTTTAAATCTGAATCCTCCTTGTTATCAAGTGAATACCCTTGGTGTTAATGAGCTCTCTGTTTTCTTTTAATCTCCAACTCCCAAGATCTGATTACTACTTCTCTCCTCTAGCTGCTACACCTGTTAATTAATCACAAGAATTTGGTGTTAGATTAATAATGGTAATTGAACTGAGTGGAGTGCAATTTGGGCTGAAATCATACGCATGATTTGAAATCACAAGTATGATTTCAGACCAAAATTGCACAACACGAGGTTCAATTACCGCTTTATTACATCCATTTTGAAATCGCCCAAATACAGGACTAATGGTGGATTAACATATTTTATTGATGCTGTACTGAGCCGGTTTTGAAATAAAAAGAGGAAGCGGAGACGCTTTTGCATCTTATTTTGTATGCAAAACAGAAAGACTGACGTCATGTGTCAAAAACTCAGTCAAGCGTAAAATGATGCGATTTAGAGCAAAAAATGGTGCGATTCCTGAATAAACCGCACCAATTAGAGCCAATCAGATTACAGGGACCACCCGTGATTTAACAACTTCTGCCTCATAGGTTTGAGTATTCTCATCACCTGTTTGCTGGTTAATGGACAGATATTATAGGGAGAAGTTACATGTTAATAACCTCTGGGAGTTGACGGGTTAAAACGTATGGTTTATTAACAATTTTACTTCAACGCTAATACCCAAAGCAGAATCCAAATCCAAAGTTATTGCAAAGACAATCTGAATCTGAAGGTTACTAAAAATAACATCGGTCAAGAATCGTGACAAGATGATAAGACTGATAGCACTTCTTTTATCCTAGAACACACCTCAAATTGAATTGGTCCACAGTATCACTTGCAGCCCACCCCTGGTATTTTTTCGAAACTCTGAGTCTTTATCATCATTGAAGTCACAATCGTAACATTTCATGCCATTCGCCTCGCAAGGTGGCGTGTGCTTCAGGTAAGATCAACAGAAGTATGTGTAGGTGCATTTTCTGGTGGAACTGGGAAACATGATCCCATTTGGCACTAGAATAAAACGGCTCTTGATGCCCCTCGATTCTCCTCGGTGAAGTGCCGAAGTATAGCGGAGCCAGCAAGCCAATTTTAAATTCCCCTCAATATTTATGAAAGTATACCAGGTGAGAATACCATTGTAAGCCTGGAAGTGAAGTAATTTGTCTTCTGAATACGGCTATTACACATCACGTGAGAACCACATCGTGCTTGACCGACTTTCAACCTGTTGGAGCTCCACTCGGGGGTGGGAAAAGACGTCTTCCTTTCGGTTTCTCATTCCTAAGGGAAAGGTTTTTCAAAACTGAAAGTTGCTGAGAGAGCACATTTAAACATCGAACAAATAATTCAAACACTGAAGTCCTTTTCTGGGAATTTCCCTTGGGGGCTGAGCCCACTGAGCCGAAGGACAAACTGATGCTTGGCTCTTGGCCAAACGAGGCCAAAGTCTTTATTGCGGGGATTCCCCTGTTAAATCATGTCGCTGACTAAATCGATTTGCTTTACACAGGCTGGTGCATTTCGTTGTAAGCATCTTCACGAGTAAAACAATCGTTACGTCTGAGAGGAACATTTTTTCACCATGGCTGATAATCCTCTTCCACGAGGGAATGACTTAACTCAGCAAGAGAATAATGGTTTTGGACCACTTTTCAAGCGTCGTGGAAGAACTACCACCGCTACTTCAGCTATCATGGTTGTAATTAGTGGCGCGATACTATCGCTCGCGGTGGAAGAGAAAGAAAAAAGGGAAGGGATTCATTCCCTGGTGTTTACAGCAGCCCTGCTTACCCTCAGTTTCGTTTTCGGGGAACTATTTCGAAGATTTTCCTTGGTGTTAGAAGAGATCCAACACATACGCACGAGATACCAAGGAAAGTGGAAAAGTGTTATAAACTAAGACAACTTTCACTTTCGATCATGACAAGTGCATTTTAGTCGCGACCATCGCTGCCGCTTTCATCCTGTGTTATCAGTTGTATGAACAATACGAGGTTTTCTCTCACTCAAACTTCGCTATCTTATTTTCCCTGAACTGTTTCGTGGTTCCGCATTTGTTGTTCCTTGTGGGTCTTCGACAGCTCTCTCCTGTGGAAAAATCGGATTTGTACGAAAAAGAAAACAAGAATGTGGCCGATGGGTTAGCTAAGGGCTTCTACTTTGGTTATCTGAGGCTGGTGCTGCCGCAACTGAATGAAAAGATTGCCGATTCAGTGGAATTTCGATATTTGTTAAACGCGAAAAAGGTTTTCATTTTACTGCCCAAAACGTGCTTCACCTGTGATAGCATCGTTGACGCAGATTCCAGGGTAAAGTGGGCCGATGATCTCCCGCCGCTTGAAATAAGTAGAGGTGGAATTCTGAAAAGAATTTACAAGCATGCGGTTTATAAGGTAGAGATGCCCTGCCCAGATGGAACGGTGGAAGAGTACCACTTCATTTTGGAGTATGCCATGCCTCTGATGACACTTTACGATATGTCTCAGTATGCAGACCCCCCCTTAAGTCATGAGGAACGGGGATCATCAGGTAGGCTAGTTTCTAGTACGTCCCATTTGATTTTCAAGATGATAGAGGCACTACAAACAATACTGTGACAGATCCTTAGACAAGGTACTAATGGGTCAAGCTTTGCTGTGTATTTCTTGCTAGCCTCTCAGAAACACTACCTCATTCTACTCCATTCTGTGGCCAGTTATAGACCCCATTTAAGTAAATTTTGGGTAAATGTAATTTTCACTATCCTAGTGTGACCGAGGCAGGTTCTGATGTTGTTATTTGAACAACGAGACAGACTTATAGCCACAATAAAATTTATTTATACAGGAAAGTACAAAAGAAATAATACTGATAAAAAGATAGGGTGATTGCAAGCAAATCCTCAGTAAAATAGGTCACTAACTTGAGGTTACATGTACTGGAGTTACTTTTTCTGTGACCAAGAGGTTCTGAGCTTGTAAGTGCTGATCTTGACACTCTGAACTACTGAGTTAAACTAACTAACTGTACTTCTTTTATAAGGAATCGAACAATAGCAGGAAATTCTCTAAAATTTTGGAAGTTAGGTGTGATCATTCTAAAGGAAATTTATGATGCAAATCCTGTGTGTATGATAATTTGGTTATCATAGGAAATAGTTAGGTGTGATGGTGCAAAAGGAAATTTATGATGCAAATCCTGTGTGTATGATAATTTGGTTATCATAGGAAATAGTTTCTGAAAATGTAATTCTAAAATTATAACAAAAAATATTGCAATGTCATGCACAATTGTGAGCCTGGTCACACTAGACTTAGTCACTTTCTGTTTATGCATCTACCTAACAAAGCCTTTTAAGTTGGTCATCCTAAAGTGAGTAGGCACATTTGACTGCAAATCTTTCCATTTTTAAATCCATACTTATCATGATTTGGCTTAACCCCAAAATCCCAAAAATTTGCAATGCCATCATAAGAGCTCAATTGAAAAGCAACCCCATTATAGTAAATCCAGTTATAAAATTGTAAATTAACCCATCCATTAGCATGTCCCCAGTAGCCAGCTTTTACTAGGAATTCCCATCTTCTTCCCCCCCCCCCCCACCCTATGTGGACTGGTCCCCATTAATATGATTTGTTTAAGGTCAGACACAGCAGTCTCACTGAAACCTTTCTTCCATGTAATTTATAGGTGGTGTTGTTCCTCCAAAAATTGACAGAAATTCTGGATAAGTCCGAAGAGTGCAGAGGGACTTATGAGTTAGTACCAATCTCAGGAAATGATCCACATGAGATTTCAAATGTCCTTGTTGGAATGCATAATGCTGCCAACATAGAAGTGCACAATCCTGCACCTAATGAACTGCACAGACCAGAACAGTGACAGCTCTAAACAAAATAATTCTAACTGAATGTGAAAAAACTCTGATATTTTGCAGGACCCCAATATAATAAATCAATAACATTCTTTAGCAATGCATGTGGGACTGAGAAGCCTTTCTTTAACTTTTTTTTTAGTTCTTATTAACTGAGCGGGAGGTCTGTATGGGAGAATCTTGACCGAGGTCACCAGTACAGACCAAACGCAGTGAGGTCTGTACCAGCGACCGAGGTCTAGAAAGCAACGGAACATTATATTCTTTGTATCTTTTTTTTCTAGACTGCTCTAAATGCCAGTCTAGATGGGAAAATCTAGAACGCTTTCGATATTGATTTCAGCCAATCAAATTCGTGAATTCGGTAGTTCCCAGTCCTTGTGAGACACAGCCATATAATAACAGTGAGTATTATAGTTAACCCACAAGATGACTGATGTTAAATAGTGCTTGTAGAAATGCAGATCATTTTACTCCAAAAACCTCTTGATTTTCATTGACTAAGAAAAAAGAAACTTGTTGAAAATTATTTATTAAATTGAACCCTTACAGCTTACTAATTGACAGCTTATAATATTTCTGTTGCTCTGAACAATATGGAATGCCAAAATGTTTTATGGAGGTTTAAGAAAGAGAACCCAGTTGTATATAGTAAGTAAGTAAGTAACAACTTTATTTACAGAGGGTAACACATAACAGTTAAAAACTGATGAACCGGTGGCCCTCTATCTTAAGTTAAAATTTTAAAAACTATTTACACTTACAAGAAAATAAAATAATAATAATAATAATAATAAAAAACCTGGATAAAATCTGGATATGCACAACTAAAAACTAAGCTAAGAGTGCTTGGATAAAAAATACTTTCGAACAGAAGATTTAAAAGAGCCAATGGAGTCTTTCTTTCGAATGTCTAAAGGAATGCTGATCCATAGTTTTGCTCCACTGGCCTGAAAAGTTTGCCCTCTTCCATTTTTCTATTATAGGAGGGGCACACTAAGTTATATTTTCTATAGCGACTGTGGTTCTGGTGTGTCGGTCTGAGTTTTTCGTTAAAAGTTCTTGTTATATAGCTCAGACAATTATTTTCATCTTTGATGTCCCTGAATATTAAACTAGTCTTTTTAAGGTTTAATTCTTCCTTAAGTGGCACCCAATCAAGTCATCTAAAAAGCATCTCACTTCTTTCACTGATATCAGCATCCAAGATTATTTATTATTATCCAAGATTATTAATAATTATTATTGTGAATAATTTACTGTAATGTAGGGGTTAGGATTCTCATTTCTGCGTTGCCTTTTCTAATGACTGCTTATAATTGAAGATTCTGTCCTCAGTTGTGTGTCTTTCAGAACAGCCAAGATCCTGTGAATCATCACTTGAAGGACCTACAATTGTAGACTGAGCATGCTCAATTTGCTGGTTGTTGCATTTAAATAAATTTTTGTCCATCATACCCTCTCTAATCGTTTTGGCATAAAGTAGTTTAAATTTTGGTTTATGTGAACATTTCTTTTTCCTTAACCCCTTCCTCAGAGATAATTGTGTATAGAATTCCCTTCCATTTTCAAACCCATTGAGAGGAAAAATGACGATCAGAGCTTTTCAAATACCCTCCCTACCCCATAATAATGACCCTTCAAGGGTGGGTAGGTGGGTGCATTTCCTTACAACACAAGTAGGAATCAGGTTTTCAGTTCAACTTCATTCTGTGGGTATTCACCTTTTTATAACGCAAAATTTGGATTAGTTTTAGATGAGCGAAGAAAATTCCTAGAGATGAAAAACTACTTTCTAAGGACTCTTGGTAGCACCCTAAATAAGACATGAGCCGACAGAATCATGGCTCTGGAATATATTGAGATTTTAGAAAAGGTTCATGAAAATTTAAGTTGTTCGAAGTTCATACCTGCCCCCCGACGCCTCGCTTCCTGGCCAAATATTCTGTTTTCCGGACGATATCTCAGCTGCGGACATTATCAGCCGACATACCAGTTGCCCAAAGGGTTTTATCTACTAAATATTTTACAACATGTGCCCAGCTGAACAGATCCCATGAAACTTAACGACATTTAAAAACTTAACTTGTATTCACATGCCGCAGAGATAAATAACCGCCTCTCTGAGGTATACTTTCCCCGACAATTTATTACCTCATGCAAATTTAAGTGATGTTTGAATTCTTTCGATTCATTCAAATGACCCTGCTTTGTCAATTTGCTCAAGTTCAGTCCGATATATCAATAGTAACTGTTCCACGCCGCGCCTGTTCATAAATTTTTCCATAGTTTATAGGTAAGCTTGCGGAGAAAACCGCTGCCAGCCGCCAATCAAAATCGTAAGGGGATTCCCCTTAAAGCGAACCCAATAAGTTGAAAACAAAATGCCATCTGCCACGCAAGCAATTCGAGATCCCTTTCGAAGGCGCAAAGAAGAAAAAAAAAAAAAACATTCTGAAAGGGCAAGCACTAGAAGATTCGTCCTCATTTGATGAATGGATCAACAGGAAAATAACGGATTTGGACCGATTTTCAAGCCCCGCGGCAAGGCTGTCACTTTCGCTTCAGTAGTGATAGCCATTATATCTGGGGCCCTTCTTGTGTTTGCGCTGTGGGAGAGCGAAGATAAGGACGGGATAAACTTTGTGTTCTTTGCAACAGCCCTTCTTATGCTAAGCGTAATTATAGGTGAACTAATCAGAAGGGTGTCGATGCTAGCTGAAGAAATTCGACACAAGCAGACCAGATATCAAGGGGAATGGAGGCGAGTTTTCAGATCTACTTTCGCATTTGAATATGGTTCTTGCATTTTAGCTGTCGGTACCACTTCCGTTCTGTTTGTGTGTTATGCTTTGTTGCAAAACTACGAAGCTTTTTTCCGCCTAGATTATGGCATCTTCTTTATTCTGAACTGTTTTGTGATACCACAACTGGTTTTCATCGTTGGTATCAGAGAACCGAACACAGTGGAAGCAACAATGTTGAACGAAAGAAATAACAAGAACGTTGCTGACGGCTTTGCATGGAACTACTACTTCGGCTACCTAAAGTTGGTTCTTCCTAGGCTTGAGGCTCAGATTGCAAAATCGTCGGAGTTTCGTTACAAGATAACCAAGAAGAAACTTTACATCTTGGTGCCGAAAACATGTTATGTTTATGATAATATTGCCGACGCAGATCCCAGGGTTACTTGGGCCGGTGATCTTACACCGTGTAAAATCAACAGGGGAGGGATAAAGGAAAGAATTTACAAACAAGCAGTTTACCGCGTAGCGATGACTGACAAACATGAATACTTCTTCATTTTGGAATACGCTTCCAATCTTATGTCCTTGTATGACATGTCTCTCCATGAAGACGCTCCCTTGAGTCGCCAAGAGCGGGATGATCAGGTACATAAACATCGACAGTGGTTTAGCTGGGTCTGTACTCTTATCGACAACGATATTCGTCAGTACTGTCGTCAAAATATTGTGGACTCACGAGGCGCAGCCGAGTGAGTCAGCAACAAATCAATGTCGATATTATTTTTACCACAACTTCAAATTGAAATAAAACGACTCTTTCAGTACATGACACGTTGCGTGACGCGTTAACGCGAGCAGCGTTGTCCTTGTTCTTATTGGTCAATCAGACTGCGACATTACTGCCAATTGTGGAAAAATTCAGTTTTTTCTTAAATGTTTTGCCATCCGAAGGGAAAGGGTTTGTCGGGAACTTCTGAAGGTGGGGAACCCTAGGTAGATGAGGTAACCCACCAAGCCGAGGTCGAAAAATAGCCCGAGTTTACAAACAATCTTACATCCACCGGATCTCGGGGAGAAGGATCTAGAGGTTGTTGGCATGCTAGCAAATGTAACATGAACGCGACTCCGGCTAGGTGGGTTACCTCACCTTGAGACGTTTACATGGCAAATTGTGACCCTGACAGGGTTACCCTACCTAGCGGACAACACTTCCTGCCCAAGCAGGTTACTCCACCCATCATGTAAATATCAAATTAAATCAAAGTAAATAAGAAATTATATGAGAAGGCGTGGTTTGTTTGTTTGTTTTTTTTTTTTACATGCAAATCGTTTTCTTGTAGGTTGTTCTTTTCATTCGCAAACTGAGGGAAATTCTTGAGGGTTGTAAAGAATGCAGAGGAAAGTGCGAAATAGTTCCCATTTCAGGAGATGAAAAATCAAAGATAGCAGATGTTCTGGTGGCAATACATAATGCTACTCAAGTGGAGTCAGATGAAGCCGACCTTTAGGTTTAAAGAGTGGATGATTGTAACCAACTGTTAATGTCACAAAACAGCTTTTAAATTCAACTCTTTCACTCCCAAGATCGTTTTAGCAATTCTCCTTACTGTCTGCCATACAATTCTTTTGAAGCAAGTTTGGAGAATTTGGTATCTGATCAACTAATAATCCTCTAATATTAATTATTTTTCTTCATTTTCATCACTTGTCTGCTTGACATTGTATTGCTATTGTAAGGAGAAATTCTGTCTTGGTCACTCCTGGGAATTAAAGGGGTTTACCAAATCCGGTGTAGTTCTAGCCTCATTCAGCCACATTTTGATATTGCAGTACTGTTAGCCTTCACAAGGTGATTACCGGTAATACAATTGGAACAAGAATCTCAAACATGATTGGGTTATCAGCAGCCTATGTTGAACACTAAATGGACAGTTTACATATTATACTTGTAATAAGACAGTGTTAATGGCCAGTTTACACATCCTACCTGTGTATGTGGATAGTATACAGTACTTTCTCCAATAGGTGCAGTATGCTCAATTAAAATTTCAGCTAATAGGGAGGGAGGGGGCATTCATTGGATGGAGGGTTTTTAATCCAGGGGGTGCTTATTATTCTCCTATACTGATTCTGCTGCAGTTGAAGCTTAAAAAGTTACAAATTAAGTGGCTGTAGAAACAGGTTTACTTGTATTCCCACCATTTAGGAAAGTGAGGGACAGGGTACTTGTTTGACATTATGACGTAGTAGATAGGCACTTATTTGGGGGATGTCTCTTATTTGATTGAATTCCATATGTCATTTGCATACAATGTTATTCAAACTATTGCATTCGTTTTCTCTTAAAAGTGTCCATTGAAATATTTCTAATTAACAAATGGTAAACACCACAGCGTACACTATTGAGTTATGGATGCACTCGGGAGGTTGCTAAGCACGAAAGAAGCGCGAGAGTTGCTCGAGGCAATAGCCTAGAGCGACTCTAGCTTCTTGAGTAGTACACAATACTCAATAGTGTACACCATACTCAATAGTGTACACCATACTCAATAGTGTACACCACAGTGTACACTTGTATAGTGTACACTGTGGTGTTTACCATTTGTTTTATAACATAACATTAATACATATTAGCTATAGAGTTCCCTTTTATTTAACAAATCTTACATGACCAGAAAAAACAAGCGTGCGCAGAAAATAGTCTTTGCATTTGCTCACGTCAGTAGCGTACACCCATGGGCAAATGGGGGATGCTGAATTGACCAATCAGAGTGTGCGCTTTTCTTTGGTTATGTTATAAATTGTCTTAGTCTAGCAAATAAAAATGTTACCTCCAATTCAGCTAGTCTGGTTTGTCAAATGAGCAAAGAGAACAAATTTAATGATCAAAGATCCAGCCCTTTGTATTAACTTAACCTCGCACAAAGTTGTTATGTATCTTTTCCTTCGAAGGATTCACATGTTTTTTCATTGGTAAACATTACAGTAGTTAAAAAAACTTATTATCTCTCCTTTTCTAATTACAATAATTAATTCAAGACCATCAATTCTACAATTTTCCTTTATCTCACAAAATCATGGAAATTCCAGATTTAGGATGAATAAAAACTTGGGAATCATGTTTCAATCTTTGATTGGAAAGCAGTCTGTAAAATTTGGATTACTCTTGAGCATTTATAAAAATATCTGATTAAAGACTCCCTGAGGATGTCTTCACTTTACACAAATGAAAGAATAAAATGGAAATCACAACCTTTCAATATTCATAATTTTTTCAAAAATGGTGGAAAATATGTTCTTTTTTTTATCTATATGATAAGTGAATTTTTGATGCCTTGTTTTAAAAAAGACCCTTTTCTTAACTCTGAAGATGTAATTGAGGTAAAGAGAGCTCATTGACATAACTGTAAAAAGCTCTTTATAAAAATTTTGAAGTAAGGTAATCTTAACACAGATGTTCATGGTTAGTATTTTACTTTCACCATTTGACTAGCATCTTATTTCTCATTAACATATCACCCCTGTTTCACACATTAAGGTCATGAGAAAAAAGGAAATAATCACTCACTGAAGAAGCTCTTGATTATTGAAGAAATTCACCTTGTCGGTGCCTTAGGAAATGTATAGAGAACAATATGGAGAATATGCACACTGATGTTAGTATAAAGGGTTACTGACTATCTCATGTTTCTGCTACACTACAGGAAATGTCATGTCTACTTTATCCCCAAGACCACAAGCTATAGTTTGTCCAGGCTTGACTTCCGAGACACCTTCCGGAGTCCCTGTCAAAATTAAATCTCCTTCCTCTAAAGTCATACTCTGACTGATAAAGCTGATCAAATAAGGAATGGTAAAGATCATATCTCGGGTGTTTCCATCTTGTTTTAGTTCTCCATCAACTTTCAGCCAAATATGGACATTATCAGGTTCTGGAATCTCTGTCTTGGAGACGAATCTACTGACAGGCAATGCAGTATCAAAACCTTTAGCAAGTGTCCATGGTTGACCCAGCTTCTTGGCTTTATTTTGAAGATCTCTTGCAGTCATATCAAGTGCAAGAGCATATCCCCCAACATAATCCATTGCATTGGATTCCGGAATAGACACGCCTGTCTTACTAATCACAACACCAAGTTCTACTTCATGGTGAAGCTCGTCACAGCCTGGAGGAAGCTGCAAGCAAAACAAATATGTAAATGAGAGAATAGAAAATAAAAGTCTATGGATAAGTATGCCGTAGCAATAACGTTCAAAGAGTTCGAAAAAGCCTTAATTCTAGCCTCCAAAGTGTATAAATATTTTTTAAAAATTGGGGGTCATAAGAATTGGACCAACACTCAAGGTCTTAAAATAATTGAGAAGAATTTGCTACCTTTCTATAACATCAAGAAATGGTTAGATATTCTAGTCTTCTCGGATAGGGACGAATAAATGGAGGTCCCGTCTCCTGCAGGGTTGGGGGTAGGAGACGTTAATTTCCCACGCACGAGATTACTGTGTGATGGATGTCCTCCCCTGGGGTGGGATGGGTGGGTTTACTGGGCCCGCAGTAATCGGCGCAAGCTGTTGCGGTGTCCCTGCCGGTTGGCGAAGCTAAATAAATCATAAATCATAAATCATAAATCACAAACATTTCTTAGCCTAGTATAATTTTTTTATTTCACTTTAACCTCAACCTGATACTAAGAATGTTTGTCCCTTAGCTGGAAAAAATTTAAAATAATCAATACTTTCCAATGAATAAAGGCTGATAGTTTCAAAAGAAACTGTTTGGGGCTGCGTCGGTAGGAGTAACGAAATAATTTGGATATATCAAAAAAGTTGCCATGTTCCCACCAACAACGTAGCTCCATTCTCTGCCTTTAAAAGGACACACAACCCACAATTCCTCTATTCGCTCCGACGAAGGGCTAACGCTCGAAACGTCAGCTCTTGTAATCGTTACGGTGGCCAATTTACCATTTCAACTTTGTTGATATATCCAAAATACTTTCTAACATATGGAATGTTTGTAACAATGCAGTTAATTTTCAACATTTAGCAATACAAAATTTGGAGCACTTGGTAGGCTTTCATTTTCATGGTACAGGCACGTAGGGTGGTCATTTTTTCAAGTACACACAAGTACATATAATCTAGAAACCTAAGTAAACTGAGCGAAAAAATAGAAACAATAGGCTATTTTACAGTTGTGTACTTAGTTGCCAAGCCTTTGATTCAGTGAGGCTAAAGATGACCTTGTTGTGATAGAGACCTGTATCTAGTTAGCATGATAACAAAGTGATTTACATTTGAAAGGCAGCAAGGTTTGTATCATAACAAGGTCATCCCTTGCCTCACTCCCGTTCAAAGGCTTAGCAACCAAGCACACAACTGTAAAATGGACTATTGCTAAAAAATTTCAAAATTTTCTGGTCACTTCAAGTATGCACGTGTATATATGTGTATAGGATGCTACGTGCCTGTGGTAGGGGTTAGAGCTTTTAAAGGTGTGTTATGTCACAGATCTGATATAAAGGAGAAACATAATGTTTGTATGTTGTATGATTTGATGACAAAACAGAAAAGAATTGTAAGAACAATATATTTGCAATTGAAAAAATTCACCCACTCAGGCTTTTTTTTTTTACCCTTTATATCCTTATAACAGTATGCATATGCTGTAAACTGTTCTCTAAACATTTCCGAGAATTCATTCAGCACTCAAGAACTTCTTCACTTTGTGATCATTATTTTAATTCTCATGACCTTAATGTGTGATTTAGGGATGACTTTGTACTTGGAGAAATTAGATGCTTGTCAAACTAAGAGGTCAAAGGGTTTATTATCTCATTTGCGCATCTAGATGAAGGTGTACCATCCTCACTGGTGGTATCACATAGAAAGTGAGCTTCCGGTACAAGCATGTTTTTGAACATTTTAGAGAGGGACATACCCACTTTTTTAAGGGTGTTACCCCTCTCAAAGAAAAATTTCTTTATTACCCTTTGCATTAGATCTGTGAACCTAAAAAATATTTATGAATAAAGGCTGATAGTTTCGAAAGAAACTGTTTGGGGCTGTGTCGGAGGGAGTAACGAAATAATTTGGATATATCAACAAAGTTGAAGAGGTAAATTGGCCACCGTAACAATTACAAAAGCTGATGTTTCGAGCGTTAGCCCTTCGTCGGAGTTCACTCCAACAAAGGGCTAACGCTCGAAACGTCAGCTTTTGTAATCGTTACGGTGGCCAATTTACCATTTCAACTTTGTTGATATATCTAAAAAAAATATTTATCACAGCCCTTTAAGATGACACAGGGAAGGTCATTTCTATCTTGTTCCCCAGTCCACAAATTATTGTCTGACCCCTTTTCACTGGGGAACCTCCCTCTGGAGTTCCTGTTAAAATCAAATCCCCTTCTTCTAATGTCATGTAACGGCTGACAAAACTGATTAAATGAGGAATCTTATAAATCATATCCTGTGTATTTCCATCCTGCTTTGTTTCACCGTCAACTTTCAACCACAGATGTACATCGTTTGGGTCTGTAATCGCTGATTTGGGTATAAATTCACTGACTGGTGTTGCTGTGTCAAAGCCTTTGGCAAGTGCCCATGGGTAGGTAACTTTAATGGCTTCATTCTGAAAATAGAAGGAAACATGACTTATCAGAATCCTATTTAGGATAATTACTTAACCGTTTAGCTCTCAAGATCAGATGGTTAAATCTCCCCTCTACCTTCTATACATTTCCTTACAAATAAGTTTCGAGAGTTTGGTGTTAGATCAAGTTAAAAACTTCTACCTGATAAGTTTGAGTATTCTCATTACCTGTTTGCTGGAAAATGCATAAATACTATGATGAGAAGTTAGGGGCTAATTTAAAATGCAAAATGAGTAAAAGAGCTCAACTCTTACTTTATTTTTAGTATTCACTACAATAGAACACTTTGCAATACCTTGATAAAAATAAAAGTATATTCTAGATGATAGGAAAGATATACAGTCAATATCTCGAGGTACTCATGAGCCTTGACAAAATTCACAATGTTTTAACAGTTATTGAGGTAGCATGATGTAAAAGGCTGAAAAAAAATCAGGGAAATAGTCACTGAGGTGTTAATAACCTATGAGCAGGCCTTCTTTTTCAAGAAGGGGGGGGGGTAATAAAAGCTTGAGGCTCTCTTCTCACGAGGACCAACAACTTTTACATTGATCACTAACTTCCAACTAACTCCTAAAAATATGCATAATTGCACATTTGGTAAGTGATCACTGCTTTTTGAGCCAAAAGGCTAAAAAAGACTTACTTTTTCAGTTATAAGATCAAAATCAGTCATGTCTAGAGCCAGAGCATATCCTCCAACATGCTCCATAGCTTGAGACTCTGTAATAGTTTTGCCAGTTTTGCCAATCACAACTCCAAGCTCTACTTCATGATAAATCTGATCACGACCCACTGGAATCTGTTGAAAGTGTTAAAAAATCATGATTTTGCGTGTGCTTGAGGATCACAAGGTTTTATAAAACACTTCTTTGAACAACTAGTTAGTGTTAGCATCCTGTAGGGATTATGAAGGTTTGTGGGTACCATTTAATTCACATGCAACACCTGTCAAGAGTCAACTTCCAACACTATTAATGACATGGCCGACTCCATAAATGTTTATGACGTAAATCCCCTCTTCTGATTGGTTACTAGGGGTGCAAAATATTCAAAACAGGCCCCATTTTAACCTGTCTGATTTGCGATCATATATGTTGGCTACTTTAAACACAAATGTCTTACGCTTTGGCGTGAAACGTAATCACCACGCTTTTCACATGAACAAGTGACCATTGAACCTCAACTCCTCCACAAAGGAGGTGCCACATAACCGTGTAGGGAATCCCCAAGCCAGGACTAAACTCTAATTCTAAACAAAACACATTATCGCCAGTCGATATCTTTTTCAAGTCTCGATCCCACTGATACCTTTTACGCTATCTCGAGAACTTACCTTAATTTTTTCCCCCGGACTCAAATATGTTGACGTTGGTTTTAAAAAAATCAAGGGATCTTGAGCAGGAGGGGGCTGTTGTGGCGATCCGTTGGGCCTGAATTAACGAAAGGAGTCTACAAATAAGACACTGAAAAAGGTTTAAAAAAATAAATAAAAAAACAGACTAACCTGTAGTTTTTACCCACGCCGATAATTTTGCGTCCAAATTCCACAAACCTTCTGAGATCTCGTCCTTGGGAAGCCATTTTTGCTTTGCAAATAAAAGAGACTGGGGATAGTGTACGCGTGGTCTTTCAGGGTACTCCGGTCGAAATGCACGTGGGGGAGCCCGTTGGTCGTCCTTTGCAGTCACGATGTCCAGTCTGTTCAGATTTATGGAAAATTTTCCGCAAACGGAATGTTTATTTCTTATGGTAGCGTTTTTCTTTTATTTCTCTTTTTTTGTATTTGTTTTTGTTTCCTTTGTTTATTTTTTTTTATTTTTCTAACGAGAGATTGGTTTTTTCTTGGCCTCTGACAAGATACCAAGCTATTCAGAATGCGAATACTTCGATTAGTACCACCCAGCATCCTGCAGTTTCTGGCGAACTAGTGTCCATGAAAAAAAATTGCTGAGGCAGTATGTTACGATACTTAATGCATGAAAAAAAAAAATAATAAAATAAAATAAAATAAAATAAAATGCAATCAGCTACTGGCAACTGAGTTGTAGTTTTCGTTTGCGTGGTTCTGTGAATTCAGTAGTTTCTTAAAGAAACCACATTATTTTTAAATGTGCAGTTTTTCCAGTTCTCGCCCCCCTCCCTGCTAAATAATAGATAATGGACTGCCCCTATCTACAGCTAAATTTCGACAGTCACTTTTGAGGAGGGAAGAGCTTGTAGAGAGGAACTTATTTGTGGTGGGGAATCCTTTAAATGATTTAAGACAACTAAATCATTTTCTACAATATTTGTCATACTGCAAAAATAATCTGCTTTAATAGCCAAGAAAATTTGCATAAACGTGATTTGGTAAGTCAGAAAGTCAACTTGAAATCACCAGCAGTTGCAGAATCTCCTGGTTATCACGGGTTGGGGCGGGGTTTTACGATGAGAAGCTTAAAAGGGACTCGAGGAGACTTGGGAAGAAAATTTCGCTGTGTTGAGTCGTCGGAAAGAAAAAAAGTAAAGACCAATTAGTTGCAGAAGTAACTTTTTTCACACCGGAGATAACGAAGTATAGAAACAGTCTACGCACTAGTGTGTACTACAACACAATAGATTCTCATAGCAACTTGTCGTATTCATCTTCGCATCAATCTTACGTCAAGAATTGCGGCCATTTTCTCCGGTAGTTTCTTGGACTTAATCGTTTATCTAATGATAAATCTGATTTTTCCAACAAATCAGAGGCATCTATCGCAAAAAGGTATACATTGGCGAAACAGAAAGACGACTAGGAGACCGATTTCGAGAACAACTTCGTGACATAAAAAGTACTAACAAGGACGCATCAAAACCAGTAGACAGACACTTTAATCTCCCAAATCGTTCTAAGCAGTCCAGAAACCCAAAAACTCTAGAACAAAAATTTATTCTTTAAATCGGCACTCTTAATTTCCACGGTATCAACGAACAATTTTCATTCAACTAAGTTTATTCTTGTCTTCCTTATTACTATGTTCCCATCGATAGCGAAGCTCCATTTTCTGGATATAAAACACACGCAACCCAAAATTCCTCTTTACGCTCTGACGAAGGGCTAACGTCCGAAATATCAGCTTTAAAAACTCTTTACGGTGGCCAACTTTTATCATCAACTCATTTGCTCAGCAGCACTACAGTTTCTTTAGAGACTTACCCCCTTTATTCACCTGGGCCCAGTTGTTCAAAGAGCGGATAACACTATCCAACGGATAAATCGCTATCCAGCGGATAAGCGTTAACAAAACCAGGGCTGTAGCCAGATTTCAGGACAAGACGAGACAAGTTTCGAGCGCCGAAGGCGCGAGCCGCTAGAGGGGTCTGGGGGCGTGCCCCCCAGAAAACTTTGACATCTAGAAGTTTACAAATGCTCTTTTAAGGATTTTCCGTGGCACTTTTCTTCAGAAAAGTCAATCTTTAAGAAAAAAAATTAAAAAAGGCCAAAATTAAGACGAGCCAATTGCCTCGTCTTGCCTCATGCTAGCTACGGCCCTGAAAACGTACTGCGCTATTTACCGGATAGAGATTTTATCCAGTGAATAGCATCATCCATCCTTCGAACAAACGGAGCCTGAAGTATAGAAGTCTTTGTCTGCTTTTAGGATTTTCTCTGGCAACAACAATAATAATACTGTCATTCACAATTCGTGAAGCGGGAAGCAGCGGATAACTGCAGTCACAAATAAACTACGGCACCATAAATGATGCATACTCCTGCGATGAAACATTTTTAAAATCAGTGTTTATGCTTATCAGTAAAGCAGCGGATAACTGCAGTCACAAATAAACTACGGCACCATAAATAAACTACGGCACCATAAACTAATATGGCCATAAACAGCCATATTAGTTTAAAATGACTGCCAACTCATATTTGCTTGGCTCAAGCTAGCAGTTATGCTTATCAGGGAAGCAGCGGATAACTGCAGTCACAAATAAAAGACGGCACCATAAATGATGCATACTCCTGCGATGAAACATTTTTAAAATCAGTGTTTACTTTTACTTACTCTTCTCGACCACATGCATCAGGAGACCTTCTTTTTAATCTCAGTCCTGGTCAATTGGCTACAAGCCAAGTTCTTTGCATTGAATTATGAATTATGATCGAGTTAAATCTTATGACGTACGGAAGAGACACTTCTGCACTCTGTCATGAAAAAATGAACTGTCAGAACTGAACTGTGCTCAGTAATGCTGTGCAATTTTTTCTTGGAGTTCATCATTTATTCTTTAGAAACTAGATTTCTACGGTTTATAAAACCTCATGAAATTTAACAGTATTCCAACATTTTCTAAGTAAGAATGAAATGGATAAATAACCGAAAGAAAAAAGAGAGATGGAGAGGAAGGGACGATTCGAATAATACGTCAATTGTATCTAGACGCTAGATGAACCAATGATAACGTAGATTAGTTAACCTCAATCGGATTCATTTCTTATCCAATGATTGCCATTGTTATAAATTACGTCAACATTTTCCCGCGCTTTCAACGCGTGAGACAATGTGAAGCGTTAACGATGGCCGAAACTTTGATAGAGGAAGGCGAACGTCCAACTACAGAAAGACCAGAGCGACAAGTGATCGTTCGTCAGGTCACCCCTGATTTTCCAATACATTTAAAACTCCTATTGGCATCAACAATTGTCCTAGTTGTGCTCGTCTTAGGGACGATAGTTTATTTTATATACGCTAAATATGCAAACGAATGACAGCAGCGAGAACTACGGGCCACATACAGGTGTCTGCTCACAGGTAGGCTGATAAATATGCTTGTTTTATTCTACATGCCGCTCGATTTTAATTCAGACTCAGCTCAAAAAGGAGACGACTTCAGACTTTTAGTAGAAAACTTCACAATTTTAAGCGTTAACATATAACTTGAACTGTTGAAAATGATTATTTACACTTCGGTTTTTGTTACCAATGCCGATATGCTTAGATGATATTTTTCCGAGATTTCAAATTAAACACACACTCATGTAATGTATCCGTACAACTGCAATTTTACATTTCCATCCAGAAAAAAATTAGGGAAATAGTTTCAACTTTGAAAATGAATTTGCATTCGGGAATAAATAATATTTCATTTTCTGGGAGCTTACATTGACGTGTATTTCAAAATGAAAAGCGATAATTTTGGCAAGTTTTGAAAACCTTCTCATTAAATATTCACATGAAAAGCAGGTTCTTTCCGAATATTTATTTCGTGTTTGTATATTTTATTTTTCCTTATGAAAACAGAAGTTTGAAGCTCAGCCTTCACGTTCGCTACACAAAATTAACCTTTATTTATTTTTTAATTTCCTTTCTGTCAGTTTTCTAGTGAAGAAGCAAGAAACGACTTAGACTTTACCGGAAAACAGATGTTTTGCAATGATGAAGAATTTTGGTAATATCATAGAAAATAACCATAAATGTCCTTGACTCTAATTAACTCTTCTGAAGGGAAAAAAGCTCATTTGGAATGTCATTAAATAAGACAGACGGATTTGACGCGGAGAAAACATATTTTGTCGAATTTTTCGGTAACCATGTTAACATTTATGCTAATTTTATTCTAACAAAGATGAGTTCTCGCGTTTTATTTTGACTCAGTATGGTTTCCGCTTCAACCCAGAATTTGGCAATCAATTAGTTTCACGTGAAAAAAAAAAAGAAAGAAAAAAGAAGAAAAAAGATAAAACGTAGGAAGAGAAAGTGTTTTCTTTTTTTTTCAACATCGACAATTCGTCACCTCTGGCCAGCTGTCATATATTCCGTTCAGTATATCTAGTTTATCAACTCCAGGATATAATGAGCTGCTTCGGAATTTAGTAAAATGTACTTTGAAAACCAACGAGACTAAACAATGTAACAGCAGTATTAATTAACCATGACGAGAAAAGGATATTACAGCTTATGATACACACATTTCTATTATCTTAATTGATAGTACCACGGAAAAAGCCCACAAGCATGCGAATGGCTCGCCACAAACCAAGACGCAATGGAATGTAAGCAGATTATGTTCCGTTTTCATGATTCAAACCATATTAGTTTACATACATACTTGAATGCTGAATGTTCAAACATTTTAAAGGCTCTTTTAAAAAATGCTTTTATGTCCGAAAGTTGAACTATGTTTGAAAAAGAAGAGTCTTTTTAAAGAACAATACATTTCCATTTCTTTGAATTTGTTCTTAGAACACCACTTTCGACAATGACGATCCAGATCACACAAGTGAAAGCAACAGTAAGCCATAAACAGCCATATTAGTTTAAAATGACTGCCAACTCATATTTGCTTGGCTCAAGCTAGCAGTTATGCTTATCAGTAAATATAAAAATGTGTCAGAGTGGAAAGGTTAAACCCACTCATGACAATTCAAGTGTTCTGAGAAAAGTGAACCCTCCCCTTGATAACAAACAGTTATGCAAAAGAAATTAAAAGCCATTGTGGAGAGAGTATGGTTTGAGCTAGACTCCACTAAAAACCCACGGAGATAATGTTGTTAATCTTTCAATCAGCCTTTGTTTCATCTGGTGGGTTTCATTTTCAATGTGCTTTCTAAACTACCAGCCTCTGATTTTGCGATGAAAATGCTGCCAAGGTTGAACTGGTGCGTCAATTTACTTGGCAATGTATTCTTAGAGAGAATAATATACGAGTCTTCATTTATGCAAAAGGACACTAAAGATTTTTCTTTGTGGTCAAAGGTTTCATGTCACCTTTCTTAACCAGTTAATTGTATCTCTTCAACCTACTACTCTACAAATCATATTAAGAAAATAAACATTTCCTTCACCAGCAGTATGTCCTGATACCTATGAAAACATGATATCAAGGATGGGTGAGATTGAGAAGGCTTTGGCAACTGTTAAAGAAACAATATCCACAGCAAGTGGTTAGTATGAAACAGACAAAACTAAGGATGAATGAATACAGAAAAGCATAGAAACTAATTTAATGATATTTCTCTTTTTCCCCAACAGTGCGTTGCCATCTGCTTAATGTTGATGTTGTTACAATGTTCAGTCCAGAAATGCTAGACACCCTGAACAAAACAAAGGAACAGTGTGACAACTGTATAAAAGCAATGGAGACTTTGTCTGCTGAGGACTACTGACAAAAAAATATACTAAAAGCAAAGGCTCAAGAGTACTCTTCAAAATTCTTAAAATGTATTTGGAAGAGGCAACTGAATAGCTATTCCTCGTTTAAAACACAAAACATTACTGTGCCATGTGTAAATTGTCTGTAAGAATAACATGGCATAGAGGATAAAGACAATTTGACAGCTAGACTTTGATTATGCAAATTGCAGGGTACACAATTTTCAAAAATGTTTGGATTGTTGAAAATTGAAGTGGCACAAAAGCCCTTGTTCAATACCATTTCAGTTTGAAATGGATGATTTAAATTAATTTCGATTTTTAGAGAAGAGTTATAAAATTGAGGAACTGCTCCATTTAATACTTTTATACACAACAATGAGTTGTTCATACTGTTTAATTCTGATTAACTATTCATCTTGCAACTGCTTTTTTACAATGTTGCTGTTTATACAATAAACAAGTGAAATCAAAATCCAAGAATTTTAGCATGTTTGTCTGATTGCTAATAAATAACTTGCCATATGTACATTTTTGTCTAAACTCTATATACATTTTTCATAATACAAAAATATCCCTTAAAAAATTCATCATTTCACAATGAACTATGCCTGAAATGGAATTCTACTAATGCAACTGATGCCTACAAAATGTCCACAATTTTTAAATTTCTACAGTATGAACCTGTAACATTAGCTTCTTTACCAATGAAGGTTATTTTCCCATAGGATTTATTCCCCTTTCAAATCCAGAGGTTTGGCACAAACTTTGACATTACTAGTGAAGATTAACCTTCTTTGTCTTGTTATCTATTGGGGTTTTCTGAAACCTTGTGTTTTATCTCGCTGAGAATATGACTCTTCTTAACTTCTGTGGCATTTGGTCTTGCTTTTGGTATGGCAGACAATAACCACTGCACCAATTCCGACTAAAAGAAAACAAGAACCAAAAAAAATGTGATTATAAAGAACCTATTCAGGTAAAGGTAAAGAATCCGATCCTACCCACGTGTTGGCCAACGCATCGCCCGACACAGGAAGACAAACTTCTTGGGATTATCATTCACGAAAATTTGTCCTAGAAACCACATATCTCTGCTGTCTGTGATAAAGTCTCTAGAGTAACAGGAGTCTTGTGCAAGTTAAGGCGATACTTTCCTTTGAATACTTTGAAAACCTTATATAGTTCTCTTTTCTTACCTTACATAAACTATGGCAGTTTAATATGGGCATCTACTTATGCTTCTTACCTAAAACCCCTTTATGTACTTCAAAAGAAAGCCGTTCGTATAATTACTTTTTCTCCTCCTCCTCTGCACATCCTCTAAACCCCTTTTTTCTAAGCATAATATTCTTTCATTTTACTCTATTTATAAATTCCGTGTTGCCTGTTTTGTATTCTCACATTTTAATAACCTTTTACCTGCTCCTGTTTCCTCGATGCTTCATTTTAATTCTGAATATCACAATTATTTGACTCGTTCGTGTTTTAACCTGCATAAAACCTGTCATAAGTATCAATTTGTTATCACTTGGCAAGCTCTTATTATTTGGAACGATATTCCGTTATCTGTGCGCAAAAATCTCACAGCAAGCAACTATAAAAAAAGCTTAAGACTGTATTTTTCTCTGAGTAGTTAATTAGCCTGCGCATAATCTGCATACCTTATGGGACTATATTAAGTGTATTTGTTTATATTTGTTAGTGTGGTTTATAGGAATTTATTATTAGTCGTTTAAATATTTAAACTAGTTGCCAAGTATTGTATCTCAATTGTAAGTTTTCTGACTGACCTTTTTCTTTCTTGGTTTCATTGTATTGTAATTATTTTAGTTAAAACTTTCTTCTACTCTTGTAAATTCTTCTCGTCTTTTGCTAACCTTAAGCCATTTAAGCCCCTGGCTTTGGCTGTTCTTGCGTATTTTTTTTCTTTCAATGTGTGAATAGCAGGAATAAAATAATACTACCGAAACACTACTGATGCATTGGTAAGATCAACCAACGCGTCGCCCAACTTGTCGGCTAATCTAACGTGTCGGCCGACAGACTACCGACACATTGGTAAGAATGACTGGATAAGAAAAGGAACTCTAAATCATTGCCATTTTGAGAACGAAACACTAGTACCTATGTCTTCTCTTAGTTCTTTTTTTCTTTTTTTTTTTTAAGGGTCGGATACCGAGGGAGTTAGCACGTTAGGCGTTGCAAGATTGACCAACACGTCACCAAGGAGCCACCAGTTTGAAAAAGTCAGTGTCCTACGTAATAGAATTGCAGTGTGATAAACATTTGAAAACCCCAACGATGCGTGTCAGTTTAGAATAGTTTTAAGGTATCCTTGTAGAAAATATATAAAATGTTCATCTATATTTAATCTTCAGTCAGTCAGGATAAGTAACTGAGTGGGAACTGGGTTCCAAGAACATGACAAACAAGATGGTGGCCAAAAGGAAATTATTCATTTTCATATCATGAGTGAAAGTTTAGCATTGCTTAACATAAATAAGGCCCAAACTAAGTCACTGATGCACCGCCGACAGACCACCGCATCTCGTACATTAGAGGGATAGATGGTGGCCAATGTGCCAGTAGGATCGGATTCTTTACCTTTACTGATATTAAATAGAAATAAAACAAATAAACAATTAAACAAAACTTACCTATTAAATAAATTAATGGCATCAGCCTTCCAATTACATCTCCTTATAGCTCAAAGCATACCCCCCCCAAATTCTCAAGTAAGAAATATAGACCGGTACATGTGCCAAGGGCTAACAAAGGGACATAAAATATGTTTTATTATACTGCACCTGTAGAGGCATTTTTTCTTGAAAGTAATTTGGGATGACCCTCTGTTTGACACCACACATAACCTATAATTGACAGTAACAAATACACAGTGAGTCCAAAAGAAATATTCTTAAAAGCCTATTTTCCACTGATGGTGGAAGCATTAACCAATGCAAAGGGGAAAGTACAGAAATCCTTCCAAGTGTTTCATTCTTTTGCTAAATTTCAGCCTAAACATGTGTCAGTTTTAGTATGTTTCCAGAATCAAACCTAAATCTTTTTCGTACTTAACCACAGCTTTCACTCAAGCAATAGCCTTTGATACTGAATTCTACAGGAAAATTCATCACCTGGCAAGGAATTCCATGTTAAATTGCACAAAATTTGATTTTCCTTGAATCGCATAATTAAATATATAAAAGAAAAAAAGATAACAGCAATGACATAGTTTGTTTTTATCCTGAGTTTGAAACATGACATGCAAAGCAATATCATAAAGGTGAAGGTGTAGTCTGATCGTCACTTGACTCTGATGATGACTTCTGCACAGGTTGTCAAAACGTCAGTCACTACCACCGCTCACCCGGACGATCAGACTACACCTTCACATGTTACCCCCGGGTTCAAGCCATTTACTGCAATATCATAAAGCCTTGTTTGCAATAGTCCATTTTTCAGTTGTGTGCTTGGTTGCCAAGCCTTTGAATAGGAGTGAGGCTAGGGTTGACCTTGCTGCCTTTCAAATGTAAATCACTTTGTTATCATACTAAGTAGATACAGGTCTCTATCACATCAAGGTCACCTTCAGCCTCACTATGAATCAAAGGCTTGGCAACTAAGTACACAACTGTAAAATGGCCTATTTGCAATTCCATACTAAATACCTAACTTCTTTAACCAATGCAAGATTTTATTCAATTATGCAATTCTGTATTAAATACATACTCCAAAGCCTATTAATGCATTTTAACCAAACAATCGGAAAGAGATATTGAACTTTAGAATATAGAGTAAATGGAGAGGAAGTGGCGATGTCAAAGGCTTCAAGCTCTTTAAAAACCCGCTAACAACAACCTTTCAGTCAAGTAAAAGAAGTCATTCCCTCAGCATTGCAATAGTTGGAATTACATAAGGAGCTCACTACTTCAGACTTAGTCAACTTGTTTATGAGTAATCAAGAAAGAATTTCTCCTTAGAATATCAATGCAATATCAAGCAGAAAACTAACAAGAATAAGGAAAAGAGAGGATCAGGTGATAATCAGGGCGGGGTTATTCAAAGCTGCGTTAAGTTAACCTAGTGTTAGCATGAAATTTGATTTCAGATCTGAAAGCTTTAGGAGAAAGTTCAGTTTAATTATTTTGTGTCTACAATTTGACGATCGGATGCTCTAAAAAGAACAGGGAAAATTATCTCATAAAGGTTCTTGAATAGAGAAATTAGGAAACCTGAATCAAAATTCAACCCTGGATTAGTGCTAATCGGCCTTTGAACAACTGGACCCAGATCAGTTGATCCAATACCAAATTCTCCAAACTAACATAAGAATTGTATGGCAGACAGTAAGGAGAATTACAGATGAGATCTTGGGAGTGAAAGGGTTAATGACCAGTCCACCCTGCCCCTCTTACCTTAATCCTTTCCATTTGAGTACTAAATGGACAAAACAGCTCAAAAAATATGAGTCCAAGGGAAAAGATGTCTACCTTGTGGGAATATGGCTTTCCCTCCATCTGAAAGTAGTTAAGAAGAATGAAATGAAGGTCGGTTTGTACTGCACACAATAATGCTTTCTGTGCAGTCTTTGGGTAACCTCTCTTAAAGTAACTGTTAAATAAAAGTACAAAACTTGTTTTCATAAGCAGTAGTTTTGTAACATGGGCATTCCTTTCAAGTACAGGAACTGATCTATCACAATGAAGAACGAGTCCTTCAATTTTTTCGTTTAATAAATAAATTACCTCTACTAATTACAATTCAACAACTGTACAAAACTTACTGCTTAAAAAGCATTTCACAGAAAAAGTGTGTAACTTAAACTTGACAAGCTACCAGTACTTACACTCAGTACACCTATGAGCTAATTTACACATTTAGCACCACAAGCAAGCTTCGCTGATTGTGCTAAAACTGGACAATAGTTTTGTCACCTGTTCTGGGCTCATGTACAACTGTGTTCCAACTTGGCTTGTATGATTTGTGTCATCCATTAGAGAATCTACGCATACACCAAAGCACAATTTTAAAAATGTAGTCTGATCATCACAATGCTGACCTAATAAATAACTTTCATGTACCAACAAAATCTTACTTTTTTCAAGCAAGACATAATTTACAATTAGTAATGGATGATGCGTGACTTGGTCATCTCTAATCATGCTCCTAATAGTCCAGTTTGGTTTGACCCCTTGACCCATAACATAATAAACATGGTATGCATCATCTGATTGGTCAATTCAGTTTCCAAACAGATACTTTATGAGGTTATAGGGCCCGCATGTCATTAGTTATGTCATAAAAGCAGTAGAATGCATTTTTCCAGGCTCTATACTCACAGTGATGAAGCCACTCACAAAGGTTATCAATCACTCACCTTTGGCTCACCATTTTTAAGCTTTCCCCATGTTCTCCCAACATCCCACATGGCTTAATCACATTACACAGCGCAGAAAAATGTGCACTATTACTTGACTAGCACATTATTTCTCCTTACAAAGCCACCCCCCGAATCACACATTCTGGCCAGGAAAATGAAGGAAATGATCACCAACTAAAGAAGCTCTACATGGTTAAACAAATTCTCCTTGTCAGCACGTTACAGAATGTATTAATGCGATGAATAAGCATACGGAAGTTGGGGTGTGAAGGGCTAACTGTTGCCATACCTTTAATGGGTGTGTCCAGGTTGTTTTCTGATGTGTGGGCTGTCACTAATCCAAAATCACCAACTTTCACTGAACCATCCAGTGAAAAGAAAATATTGGATGGCTGTGAAATAGAATAAAGAGATTGCGGCATAATTTAAACAACATAATTACTTTGTTAATATTTTAAATTTGCTAAAGCTCTAACTGGAGGCAATATTTTTATTTAAAGTAAACTGGCCTGGCTGAAAGCAAATATATGAAAAAAGGGATTACAAAGCTACCAGCCAGATATTTCATAAACCTGATATAGCAAATGACTCACTGCATCTGTAAACTTGTGCAATTACAAATTAAAATGAAACATTGCCTAAAAAGCCAGTTTGGTAGGACTCTTAATTACAAGCTGACTTTACGACACTCCTACCATTTTATCTCTTTTTATATGATTTGTAGAATTTCTCTTACCTTTAAATCTCTATGCATAAGTCCTCTTCCATGAAAGTACTCAACAGCACCTAGGATCTGTAACAAGCACTTAATAATCAAATTTTCTATAAATAAAATATTAGAGTGCCATCATCATGGAAGAATGCATTTTACAGAAAGAATGCATTTTACAGAAATAGAAAGGTCTCTTTTCTCACATAACAACCTTGTTGGCACTTTTCCAAGTTCTAATCATGAACTAGTATTTTTCAATCCAGAGATTTTACTTTACATTTAGAGTAGATACTCAATTCATTGAAAATAGGCATCATAAACCAAGTCTTCAATTTGTCTGTTTGTTGCAATCATCACTAATTTAAAAGTAAAATGATACCTCTTCAAAGACATTCAGGCAGTATTTATGGTTCCTTTCATGATTAGCTTTGAGCCAGTCTTTCAGGCTTTCTTTCTGACAAAGCTGCATCTGGATAAACAGGTACAATGGTGCTGACAGCTTATCAGTATTGCACTGCTTATCCTGACACTTATGTTTTTCTCCTAAAATAAAAACATATTAATAACATTTTAAGTCAGATAAGCAAAAACACCAAGAACTCATTTAGTGAGTTGAGCATTTGAAACTTGAAGCTCCTGGTCATTACAGCGATCAAATTTTAAATCTACCATCCCTGTAAAGCACATTTTAATGTGCTTACCTGGAATTGGCACTACACAAATTGCAGTAATTATCATCATTTCATACACCAAACAATCTGTGATCTTAAGACACTTAACAAACACCTTGTCAGGGTTTTGTCAGATATAAAAAACTCTTCTACAAACTTTTGTAAGGAGGAAATTTAAATAAAAGCATTTAAATTGAATTTTAAAATCAAGGTCAGTTTTTATTCCAAATACAAAAATGAAAATATTTGTCTTTAGGACAAACTTTTAGATAGCCTCCAATCATCCTCACCTTTATAAAGGACTAGACTTCACAGTTGGTAGCAACAAAGGAAAAAAGAAACAATTATCTGGTACATTTATCAGTTCAAAATCTCTCAGGTTAGGTATGCTTCACTTTCTTCTAATGAGTAATATATCATTCCATGACAGAAATCGAAAAATTATAATTTTCTAGTTTGGATATACTTTTATTATAGATACTGATGAAATACCAGGATTTCTCCTTTTACTAAAAAATCATATCTTCACCTCGCGCAGTGAAGATACTATTTTTATCTTTCTCTTCTGGTGTGGCCATGGTTACCAACATAATTACTCAATTACAATAGAGCTTCTCGCTCAGGTGCGCAGTCGGTTGATTTGAGATTTCATCAGCATCTATATAATAAACAGAACATTATATGGCCACTTGGGGATACGAATTTTATCTTCTTGTGCTGAAAGTATCTCTCACCCGTTTGCTGCGCTCACTCGTGAGAGATACTTTCAGCACAAGAAGATAAAATTCGTATCCCCGCACGGCCATGTAATATCCGCTATATACAAAATGTGCTCATCTCACTTGAAAGTAAAGAGTGATGTGAAGAGGTTAAACAGAGTTCCTCTGAGGAGCTAGTTTCCTTGGATACGGAATCCTGTGTGTTGTCAGATGATGGTAGTGATCCAACGTTGCTTGTGTTTACATCCTACCAAGAAAATTACACTAAAAATTTTAGAAAGGGTTGATTCAGATTTTGTCCCCCTCACATTATAGTAATCTGAGCTCATGATTGAATTATTTTCACAACAACAACAAAATTTATTCATTTTTAGCAATTAAAACACATCCCTAACAATCCCTACCCACAAACTACTGCAACTAATCAAGGCAGGAGGGAAACAAACATGCATTAACACATACTCTTCAATAACAAGTTTGACTGAACAGAGGGTATGATTTCAAAGTAACTGGTCAATGTGGACTGATGCGCATCTAAGCTGCAAAGAATGTATGCTAAATAATTGACTCTTGGTTCAACAGTTTCAGCAAAACATCTCCAGTTCATTTTGAAGAGCTTTTTTTTTCTCAAAATACAGCAGGTCAAAAAGGGAAAAATGAAACTTAGCACAACTTTTTGAGCTTTACAGTCCATCTATGAACAACACTGTATCAAGCACAATATTATTCCTATCATTTCACAAACCTTTTGACTTAAGCTAGAGTCTGAATGTCTGAAGACGATGCTGTCTGATGTACTTTCCTCCAAAGCATTGAGATGAAATCCATTTCTGGGTTTTGTCAGTTCTTTGTTACTTGATGAAACAAATTCTATACTGAAAGAATCACTAATTTCATTTTCATCTAGGAATGCTTCATTCTCTAACTGATAGACATCAATTATCTCGCCATTAATTTTTCCATCATCCTCGTCTGGATTTGAGTGATAAGATGAATGCCTGGATCGGCTGCTGGAAGTTGTTTTCCTCCTTCTTCTGGCCTTCTTTTCTTCACCAAGGCCTACAGATTTGCATAAAGATTGCAAGACATGAAGGTTCTTTATGTAAGTTTCTTACCTAGCTATTCAACCCCTTGACCTCTTACAGTAACTACCATCTAATTTCCCCTTGAAATATGATCTCGAAATCATAAATGAAGGTCACAAAAATAAAGGAAATGATTAGCAACTAAATAAGCTCTTGACTGATTAAAAAATTCACCTTGTAAGCACCTAAGGAAATGTATAGAGTATAGCATGGAGACTATGCTTATTGATGTGTAAAAGGGTTGGTTCATTTTTTTTTTTCATTTAATTTCCTTTTGGTACTTTTCTATTTCATTCTTATTGCCAAAATAATATAAAATTTACGTTCCACAAAGTATGCTGAGAAATATTTTTAATTAAATTAATTCCATAATGACAACTAGAGAGTTGCAGAAATCAGATAGGAGACATTCAGCAGTTCATATCAGTCCGCCCGTCTCTTGCAATCATCATCTTTCTTATCCTAAAAAATTAAGAACATGGCCCTAAACAACAGCAACAAAATAACCTCATGAAGCCTCACCATTTTGCGAGTACGATGCATCATTTGGTAATGCATGCATTACAATCCCTGAGCCAAGTGATGGTGCTTCTGATGGCAGTTCGCATAATTCCCTTAAAATCAGATGAACAAATAATTGTTATCAATAAAACAAATAATCAGACATACTGATTAATTTTAATTAGTAATTTTTCACTGGAAAAGCTGTTGCACTCAGGGTGTTTGCCTTTAGTCTGAGCTGGTAGCCAGACCTGTGTATTAATACTGAAAAAAAGAAGTTCAACCAGTAGGGCCCCACACTAACGGTAGCCCACTAGCCACAAACTAGTCTTGGCTAGTGGTGTTACAATTTGCACTGTCCAGTTTGGCTTGTAAACAAACTGAAATTGTCATAACACCTAAGATCTCACTAGCTGTTTTACTCAGGGTGTTTACCTTTGGTCTGAGCTGGTAGCCAGACCTGTGTATAAATACTGCAAAAAATGTTTAACCAGCAGGGCTCAACACTAACAGTAGCCCACTAGCAACAGACTAGTTTTGGCTAGCGGTGTTTCAATTTCCACTGGCCAGTTTGACTAATCTAGTAAACAAACTGAAATTGTCATAACATCTACAGATGTCACTAGCTGTTGTACTCAGGGTGTTTGCCTTTGGTCTGAACTGGTAGCCAGACCTGTGTATAAATACTGCAAAAATGTTTAACCAGCAGGGCTCGACACTAACAGTAGCCCACTAGCAACAGACTAGTTTTGGCTAGTGGTTTTTCAATTTTCACTGGCCAGTTTGGCTAGTAAACAAACTGAAATTGTCATAACATCTAAGATGTCACTAGGCACTTGGCCAGTACTGGTAGGTTGAACAGTTAATGTCAAGCCCTAAACCAGAGCTGCAGTCAATAAGAAAAAATAACACTTGATCTGTAAAAAAATTACACATTCTCATAGCAAGGCCAAAATGGCTAACTGTTGTCCATACAATTATGACATCCATCACTAACAAAACAAGTCTATAATGGAGCTGACTCTGCTTGGGAGAAAATAAATTACTAACTCTTTTTACAAACCTTTTACTATATCAGCCCACTATTAATAACATTTCCATCAGAAAGAATTAATGATCTTATTAACTGCTTTCCAGTATTTTGATTGCCTTAATTTTCCATGGAATGACATGAAACACTATGAATTTAACACTGATGAGTTTATACCCTTGTTCAAACATTTGTGCATCAACTTCATCCTGCCAGCCAACTGGTGGTTCCTCAAACCATGAGTTGTAATATCGTACTATGCCAGGATGTTCAAGTTTTGCCAAGGCTTTCACTTCCCGCATGACTTTTTCCATGGCCTCATTACTTTAGAAAGAGAATAAATTAATAGTTAAAGCCTCTTTAAAGAGAAGTATTGAATTAAATTAATAAATTAAAGTAATTTATGTGTTCTAATAAGCCTCTAAGTGCTCATTACCAGAAACTATAAAACCAAAAACAAACAGGAAAATAAATTTAACACTCACTCACTGATTAATTTTACATTATTGCAATATTGAAGTATTTTTAATACCTGTTCTGGGTAACAGTTTTAATTATTGAAACTAAATCTAATTTCTATTAAAATCAAAGCATATGTAATATCACAATGAGAAAACCACTCAATAGTATTCTTAAGTATTAATGTTTGTTAGTTAAAATTTCACCCAATTACCAGTTTGGCAAACTTATCCTCTTGACAGCGTATCTACAGTCATCCACTTTCTTCCTCGCTTGAAACACAAGGCCAAAGCCACCCTTGCCAAGGCACAGTTCATGATCGAAATCATATAAATATCTATAAATGTGGAATAAATTAAAGAAGTAACCATTTACTGGTGAAAATAAATAAAATTCTTAATCTAAAAACCAGGCATGTTTGAAACATAATATGATCATCCTCAGTTGTAAGTAATGTTGAAGCATTGAAAAGGTGGGGGGAGGGGAGACTGGCAAAAAGAAAACAGTGCGGAACAGAGTGTAAAGAATGGGTAAAGAGGATCAAACAACTTGTAAACACACAGGTGACGCAAAATCTTCTCTTTCCCCTTTCACCAATAAAACTCAGTCAAGCACAACAATTCTTGGGTTTTGTTCATCACTTTCCAAAAGTAATTAATAAGTAACTAAGATTACAAGCTTGGTGACTCACCTTGAGACAAAAGAGTTGGACTGTGACAGACAATCTGATGAGGATGGAGTTAATGGTTCCTATGAGTGAGAAAAAGAATATAATTGTATGAGACACTACAAGTCATGCAAAAACAACTTATTAGTGTATTAAAACTGTTTGCAGGATGAGACTGTCATCTCAAGAGAGAAGCCTTTCTTGGGAAGTTGCTTACTAATAGAACATTTTTTCAGTGAGTGTTTAAATTAGTCAGGAACAACTAGCATTACAAGAACCTGGTCAGAAATCATTGTTATGTGAAAAGTTTCTTAGGCCAATGTTATCAGTCTGGTTTGTGGAAACTGACTGGTCTGTTTTTCTGTGAAGTCATGGGCTGTAAAGCTTGAAAAGCAATTCTGTAAATTTAAATCAATTAAAATTTTCCTTGGAGGCAGTTGTAACAGTATAAGTTCAGCATGGTTTTGCAACCATCTTTTGCCCTCTACACCTGTTGAATGACATAGGTAAGCTACCTTCCATCATACATGTACAGGGCTTGACACTAACTTTTCAACTTACTAGCCAAGTGGCTAGTGACAACTTCCATATTACGACAACTTCAGTTTGTTTACAAGCTTAATCGGGCCAATAGAAATAAAAAACCACCAACCAAAACTGAATAATTATTTCTACTAGTCTGTAGCTAGTTGGCTACCATTAGAGTCCAGCCCTGATGTAACAGCACAAGAAACTGAACACATTAAGATAATTTTCTATATACCTTGATAGTCTCCAATGATGCAGTAGATGTATGTGTGGATGATGGTAACGAAGCAGAAGACAACCTCTGGTATTTTGTTACTGCTTCACACTAAAATAAAAAGAGAGATTCATATCAATCAATTAACTATTCAGTAAGGAATCTTACATTCCTGACACTGTTGTTTTCCTTCAAAACCAAATTCTGGGGAAGCTAGATAAAAAAAAAAAAACAGCCAGAAGGGAGAAGGTAAAAATGAAGATGTTCAGGTCAAAAGGTTTAAAATACTCACATTTCTCTTACTGGATTCACGGAAGAAACGCAGAACAAACTGAGCCATGACAGCAAAAGTAACTGTTACAAACACAGCACCATGCCTTACAAGGAAAAAAATTCATGATTATAATTCCATCAATATACTGTAGGTGTATTAAGTAGATAACCACTGTTATTGAAACAATACCAGCAAGAATTAGCCTTGCTCCTAATATTCCATCCTATGTTCACCCCTAAAAGTACTTTTTTAAAAACACAGAATAATTTTTTAAGAAAGGAAAGTTACCTTCTGTCAGTGCCCAAAGAAAGTGCCATAATTTGGAATAATTAATAATTATAGTGATATATTTCTAAGTTACAAAAATTTTAATACAAACTCTAGTTCTTAAATGTAGTTTTGTGCCCCTGTTGTGAATCCAGTTCTTAAACAATAACAACAGTTTTGAAGTTGATTAAAATGTTTACCAGTCTTGTCTGTGCTGTTGTAGTATTGTATGGCAGTATTGTTAGCATAGATTTTACATTAAGTTCATGAGTGAAGTTTTATACTTTTATTTTTAAGATTGATTTGCAGACACCATAGACTACCCTTACCACCATCCTGAAATATCATTACGATTCAAAGCTGTTTCAGCAGAGCTCTTGTTATTTCTGGCAAAAACATCATCAGAATCCGCTGGAGGAAGCTGTTTGGCCTTGGCATGTGGGGGAACCACTGGCATCACTTCACCATAAAAGTAATAGCCATTATCTATAAATTAATAGGATACCAAAATTAAGAGAGGTTCATTGTGTTCATAACCTTCAAACCACATCTCATCCAGGTAGAGTTAAATCTGCACCAGTTGCTTCAACATGGTCATCACAAACATCAGTCTTAAAAGTTCCCTGTGAGTTTTTCATGACTTGCCCTTCTCAAAATAGAGTTTCCCTGCCTAATTATATGCAAATTGTAACAAATAGCAGTTATATATAGCCTCCCCATGTGAGCTTTCTTTCCAAACATTCATACATTTTCCACAATGATGATCAACAAATGTAAATTATTATTTTCTGTTAATTGAAAGATTATGTTTTCATTGAATAACACAAAAAAATTTCAATTTACCAAATGGATATTCTAAAGGATTCCACACAGCTAACTCCTTTGAGACCACAGTTGGTGTGCGTGATGGTGAACTTGTCAAATAAGGCCTCCATGTCACCTGCCTGTGTCTTTGTGCCACAGTTTTACCACTTACATCTGCATCAAGTCTAGATGCTATGTTTTCCTGAGCTGGGTTAAATGGCTCTGATGTCTGAATGTAAACTTGACCATCATATTTGCCTGGATAAGAGGGAAACAAACTCAATTTCTCACCAAAAGCAATTGAGCCAGCCACATGAAAAATTGTGGCAGATAAAATCTAAAGCCTCTGCTGTTGCTTTAGAGAAATTTGGCCTTTGGTGGTCAAAATGTCAAGTTTTACAATGTGGTTGTTTTTTTAGTTTTATTCCTTTGAACTTTCAATAAGTGCATCTGTATATCAAATTTCACTACAGTTATTAATAAATTATAATAATTACAAATGTTAATTGTGTCCAGCTTGGAGCAAGAGAGACATTGCTATGTATCCGAAGGTAGCATCAAGAGTGTCAATCCAATATCCAGTAATTCTAATGCAAAGACACAGAGTTATTGCTACATTACATGTACCATTCTAACGTGTCTTATTTCTCAATTTGTGACCACAGTAAAGCCTTAATTGTGGGAGGTAACGAACAAAAACCAAAAGATTCAAAACTACAGTGTATGTACAGGTGAAGAAATGGGGAGTGAGGTTACATTTGCCCATGTGAGGCAGTTGTTTGCTGTGTAAAAAAATCTTTATGAGAACATTTAATATGTAACTGTATTTTGTGAATTGCATTTGGCATAAGACACATTGTGAACAAAGAATTTACGAAACAGAGAAATATTAGAAGTTAGCACCAACAGATGTTTTGCGTGCTAAAATAAACCAGGGACAAATAATATGTGAATAGCAAAATTCTCTTAGCTGTGCCAATCTACAGCAGACAATTACAAATTCTACATCAAACACTGTTCTTATAGCATCAGAGGTTCAGAAAAAAAAAACACCCAGGATAGCATGGAATGCATGTATATGTATTTTAATAATTACACAGTGATGTAAAAAGACCATATTGGAAAGACTTATTACAAACATTAACAAATCACTGACCCAAACCTTTAGCTGCCAAGATCTGATTACTAATTCTCCCCTCTAGCTGCTAGATATTTCCTTGTAAATTAGTTATGACAAGTTGGTGTTGGATCCAAATAACAACTTCTATCTGATGTGTTTGGGTATTCTCATCAATTGGTTGCTGGATAATTTAGATATTATTAGGAGAAGTTACATGTTCCTCACTCCTGCAGGTAGTTATAGGGTTATGTCTTACCCATATACATGACAGGTCCCGGCGGAAATGAAACTTTGTCAGATGAGGGAGCCAATTCTGGTGTAACTTCTTTTGTGAGTAATTTTACTGGTTGTACAAAACCCCCATTCAACCTCCACACTGCTGCTATGGGGGAATCAAACTGGTGGCTCCATAACACAACTTCAGTCTCTGTTGCATCAAGAGTGTTTACTGCTGCTACAAGCCCACTGGGAATGGACACACGCAGATTCCATTCTGTAAACACTTCAGCGTCCTCAACAGAAGAGTGGGCATCATTGTCTTCATTGAAAATAGCTTCCAAGAAGCTAACATCATGTTGTCCAACAGAAAAATTCCATCTTAAAATAACAGAAAACAGGCTTCAGTAATGACGGAGTGAAGCATAATTAATGGAATCAAAGCATATTGAGTCTTCATTAATTATTTTAATGTGTGAGCAGCACAACACAAAGTGTTAATGTCTGTGAAAGTTGGGAGAGGCACTTGTAAAACCTCTGGTTGCACAAATGTACATTTGTTCATTAATGAACATGAAATCCTTCACCTAACAATCTAGAGTTAGGTTATTGATCAATTTTATTGACAACTGAATTTCAACTGCTACGCTGTTAATCTCATATCACTGGACTAGCAGTTAGATAGCAGTTAGGACCTTGCAATCAATAAAATAGGGAGCCTGACTCTACGTTGTTGAGACAAACTATCAAATGTTCATTTATCTTCAAAACAAGGATGAATGACAACATTTTCTTTGAGGTACATTTACATTTTTTTAGTTGTGTTGCAAATTTCCCTCACCCCTGTTTACTTCAGTTCTCTTTTAAAACTACTTTGATTTTTATTTACCTCTTTATCAAACAATGACAAGGAATACTAAAGAGAAGGAATGCAAATCATTGTACTCTAAAAATTTGAACTGAGGGAAAATTGAAACTCAGCATATGTAAACTACTGCATGACTGACAAGAACAAATTATGACAAGATAACAGAGCCACAAATTGCAGGTGAGTACCTTTCAATGCCACTTCTCTGATCAACAGCACGGATTGTCTGTTGTGTTCTTTTGAGTACAAGAACATCGCTGCCTTGGACATGCTGCTCATCGGAATCCTTTAACTGACAGCCATCCGCTGAACAGACATACTGTACCTATTATGACACAAAAATTGTTATCATAATCACATTGAACATTGAAGTGGAGGAATTATACCAAACACTGCTGACTAAAAAACAATCTATCGAAGAAATTATTTTTTTGAAAAGTTACCTCAACCTTTTCACTTCTGATCTAAGATCAGATTAATTTCAGTCATTCTCCCCTCTCCTCTAGATACTAAATTTCTTTAAAACCTGGGTTTAAAATTTGATGCTTAACAAATATTACCGTATTTACCCGTGTGTAAGTTGACCTTTCAAGACCTAAAAATCAGCCAAAAAATTTGCCCTCGACTTGTACATGGGTCAAAACTTGAGATCCAAGCGCCAGTCAAATAATTAGCATAATAATTGTCTTTCAATGTTAAAACAAACATGTAACAAACAGCAGCACAGTTTACAGCATACATTCGCTTAACGATCTGTTTCACTATACGACTCACAGAAGAAGAGTGGCAAAACTTGTTTGGCACGAGTGATGACGAGGACGACTTCGATGGCTTTTAGCGAGCAGGGACTGTGCTTGCTTACAAAACAGCTCCTTTAGGAGCCACCAAATAAGGCAAAAGTCAATGACCAACTGTAGAATTGTTTTTTTTTTTTTTTATTGTTTTCTTCTAACGTTCTGCATGCATGCAGTCAAATATGAAATTTACAAGAACTTTAGTTTTATTTCAGTTACCAATACTCAACTGATTCTGAGGCTTGGCTACCAAGTTCCCCAACACACGCTTTGCACTTTGTTTATTGAGTCATGTGGAAAGAGTCCTGCGCTTCTTTGGTATTTTGCCTGTCTTATAAAGCCACTTTTTACTTCTGCACACTTAAATGGTTCGTTTGAAATCATTATGTTTGATTTTGTGAGCATTTTTCACAAATTATCGTCAAAAAGCCCGCACATACATGTGTTGCTAAATTGGGTACTACGCTCGTGTACGTGCCATAATAAGCTGATTAAAACTTCACGTTGAAACTTGCTGTGATCTGTTCACATATCCATACAAGATAACTTTTCCAAGAAATTCTTACCTGGAAATTAAGAAAATCTAGTTTTTGACCTAAGAAATTGGGGCTCGACTTATACATGGGTAAATACAGTACATACTCCAGCTGACAGGAAACTATCTCTAACATCTAACAATGAATTTCCCTGTTGTTAACAATCAGATCAGCTTACCTGTTTCCATACATGAGAAAGAAAATAAAACCACCAAGGGTACCGGTTTATCGGTACATCAATTTACCGGTTTTGAGTACCGGTAAATTGAGACATTACAGAACTGAAATAATATACACAATGTATATAATACTGGTAATAAACTCTAACAAAGACTGAAGTGAGCTGAAAGAAATAACTAATGTTATAATTCAAGGACTCCCTAGAAAAACAAGCTAACCTTCCCAGAATAGGGATTAAGTCCACATGACGTGGCTTCCTTGCCACCAACTAAAATTGAACCATCAGGAAGCTTTAGGAAGGAACCAAGGAGTGTGTCTGCAGTGAAAGGAATGGGCTGTGGATAGAAAATTACAAACTGAAATCAGTAGTTGAAAAACTTAAAACATATCCATTAAAACTAGGACTATTCTGACAATAAAAACAGTGCAGATAACTTTCCTACTTCATTTTTTTTTTTCATTTTCTTTCTCTTCTTTCTTTTCTTTCTTACTCATGGTAGCCCATGCACTTTTTCTGGCCATACAGGCACTATTTCATATGACTCTCATATAGGAATTTTTTAATAATGTTTTTTCCAAAAAGCACACTGGGCTAAACAGGTCACATATAAAAAGTGGTAGTAAAATTTCAAGAGAATCATTCACAACTACTTCAGAAAAATTCTACAAATTATTGTACGGATTATATAGACTTAAACAGATCATCACAATAAAAAAAGCATTATTACAGTCTACATTTGAAAAACATAAGCCCCAAAATGAAAATGAAGTTTGAAGACAAAAAAAAGAGTTAGCTTTTACAGTCTGATTCTATTTAACATATTAAAACAAATAACATACCAAGTAATTACATACAGTATCACTAATTACCAGCGCTCCCAGTTGCACTAATATTGATCTCCATGGCAGGAAGAATTAAAGTGGGTAACTAAATAGGCCATTTCTGAGTTGCACTTGGCCTCTTTTTCAATATAAGGCCTATAGTGATCAACCATTCATGTGAAAATAAGTTAGGATTTGCATGGGAACGAAAACCTGTTATCATATCAAAGGATGAGCCCCAGGACTCCCTTTGAAGAAGAGGCTGAAGGTAATTCAGAAATGGGCCATTATCAGTGAATATCATTACCTGGGCCAACTTTGTCTGCTAGTTATTACATGCTGTAACATTTTTTTAAACTTGTTTTTAGTTTGAAAGTACTTAAGCTGGGACCCTGCATTTGATTTAACTATAAATGCTTACCTCAACTTTGTCTCCATTGACTTGATACAATCCACCATCTAATGAGGGTATTAGACGCACGTGTTTTGCCATCTGATAAAATATGATGACAAAGCACAACTTGAACAATTACCTGTCATACAGCAAAAATCACCGCCTAATTTACCCTTTGATTGAGGAAGAGTTGGGCACAATGATAGAGCCAGTATTCCAATAGACCTAGTTTGGTTCACACGGATGTTAGCATAAAGAAAATCAAAAGCAAATATTCAGGCTTTTCGCTCTGGGGATTCCCTCGCCTTTCGCTCAGATTTATTCCATTGATGATTCTTCCGTTTGTTGTAATTCACATCAGGAGCTAACAGTGTTACTTTTCACCACCCACAATGAAAGATCAAGAAAACCTACATTTCTAGAAAAAAAAAAAAACCTTTATTTGTGAAATACCTGAACCGAACTGAGGCTGGATGACAACAGAGGTCCGTGGAAAGCTGGTAAACTCCACAGTAACTTGCCATTATCTCGTGTATCCAATGCGCTTAATTTCCCATCCAACGTACTCACTATTACAAGTGAACTAAAAACGCCAGCAGAATCAGTGATGACAAGGAAATTCAATAAGGCGTTCTAAAAATCGTTTTCTACTTACCAAGAGCTACTCCGAGCAGACAAACCACTGGGTTTTTCATCGTTCAATTTCCCATTCCCTTCCATAGAAATTATCCCTGCCATTAAAGTGACAAATTGCAAAGCTACCGACGCTTTAAAAGGACTTCTCATCTTTCTACTGAAACATCATTAGGCCTGCTCCAACGGAAAAGAGGAAATTCTCCTTCCCTCTCGGCAAACCTAAGCGAAATTGCCCTTTGCATTCCTGCATGCGCGTTTCCGCACAACGGCCGCCATATTGTTGTCTTTTTTTCTAATCGCCTTTATGATTGGTTCAGGAATATGAATGACGTAACTCTTTTCATGATAAATGCAAACAAATACTTCTCTCGTGTCCACTGCGCATATACAAACAAACGTGGCGCTCTTGCACAGTACTCTCGCATATTATGCTGAGGTAGCACAACTGATGTTCCGCTATCTGTACAAAAACTTTTCCAGAACTTTCTAGAAGGATCCTCTTAAAATTAGTTTCAGCTATGTTTTTTCAGTCCGCCAAGGCCGCTAGGAGAAGAAATAATTTTTGAATCTGGCGGATTAAAATCCCATACGCCGATGTAACGCGATAGAGGAAATGTCGCGAGGAGAAATTCATTTATTTTGATGAACCGTGCAGTTTTACTTTATTTTTAGTTCATTATGAAACCGGAAACAGAATATCAGATTCTGCTTTATCGGTTCCGCATGGGGAAGGTCTTACAAGATCAGTGACTACAGCTACAAGGAGTGAATGGGGTTAACAGACTTGCGACAAAGGGCGAAAAATACTACCGACTACCGACAAAACGAGAAAAAAATTACCGACTACCGACAGAAAAAAAAAATTAACCTACTACCGACATGGGCAAACACTATCGATATTTGTTTCAGAAAGATGAGATCAGAAGAGCACATCGTATTTTTCTAGTTTACGAAGTAACCGCATAGGGCCTGAAAAAAATCCCGTACAGGCCTGAAAAAAATCAGGCCTGTACGGGATTCGAACCACTGACCCCTGCGATACTAGTGCAGCGCTCTACCAATTGAGCTAACAAGCCAACTGGGAGCAGGTTGTTAAGTTGATTCGTAATAAACCCGTGATGATAAATCAGATACAATGAATATATGAAGTACATATATTTTGAACTGCGGTATTAAATATGTATGATGCACGATTCTTCGCAGTAGATAGCGCTATTTATGCAATAGCGAAAATCAGACCGGAAAAAAATCAGGCCTGTACGGGTTTATTACGAAACAGGAAATTCGATGTTACTCACACGAGTCCATCCCTTTAGAAATCAAAGTTTTTTCTATACCCTTGGTTTACCTTCGTTACTTGCGAAACTTCTATTATTTTTGCAGCTGTTTTGTTTAATTTTTTTTTAACTATTTTGTGTGTGTGTGTGTGTGTGATCCCTGTAACGCAATGAAGTAATGCTAGACAGAAAAAAAAAGGTTTTAAAAAATCTTTGTCATCACCGGAAGACGAAAAAAAATCTTTGTCAGTTCCCCATAAGGAATCAAAGTGGTTCTATGAATCCAGGGTTTCAAAGCGTTTTATTTTAATACTGATTCCCCAGATTGAAATCGAAAACACCAAGCACATTTATTTTGAACTTATCTAATCCGAATAAGCGGACTATTCAGAGACGAAAACAAATTACTCCCAGAAGAGAAAGAAGAATTTGAGAGGCGAATTAAAACAGTCTGTGATATTTTTATTTATCTTTTCCTTTTGAAAGAAAGATACGTTTAAATAAGAGAGTTGATATATTTATTTTTATCAAGAACATTATGTAAAGAAACGTTTAATTGGCTATATTTGCGTTGTTTATACCTATTAGGAACCAGGTTTCTCTTGCGAAAAGAAAGTCTGTTGATCTATTGACATAAACATAGACAGAGTACAAGCTTTGAATCAAGCTTATCGGTGGTCTTCGTTTACCGGTTGAAACATACAACCCGCGGAAAATTTTTGGGGATTCCATTTTTCTCCGATTCATTTTCATGGTAAAGTTTAGATTTAGATCATCACTATCAACGAAAATAGATACTGCTTTAACTATAGCAGTTAAACTATTTTGTTATTAATTCCTTTATCCGCAAGGTCGTACTTTGGGAAAGATCCCTTCCATCTTTTTTATTCAAAGTCTTGTGATCAAGGTAAACCCCTTTACTTGAGAAGTGCTTGTACTCTCGTCTTTTGCTTGTGGAAAAATGTATCGATGCTTTGGGGAGAAGGTATTAGTTCATTGTTAATAATTTTCGCCATTGGAAGGAAGAAGTAGGAGAATCGAGGGGATTGTCGATGAGAAAAAAACAATAAGACTTTTGATTTTTTTTTTCTTTTTTGAGGTACGGGAAAGTGACCATAACTGTTGTTGTGAGCAGGGGTGGTTTACACGGCTTGGCCGCACATAGGACTGGAACAGCAGTAATAGTTATTTTTTGCGATTAATTTTTTTTTTTAGAGTAAATAGATTTGACTCTAATTTCGCTGAGATCTTTCAAAGTTCGCAGGTTTCACAAATTGGGTCTAAAGCTTTATTTTTCATCCAGTAGATAAAAGGAGCCTTAATCATTTTACAGTCAAGATTTCGTTCCAAGCCTTTTATTGTTTAGGTCAAACACTGTGTAGTTGAATTGAAAGTCGCGATGGACGTTACAGAGTATCCTTTACGTTAACTCTCTATTGACATATCTTTTTGGGGGATTATTGATTCTTTATAATCTTCGCTGACAAAAATTATTATTCTTTTAATGCTAGCTCAGCAATAAACGATTGTAAAATCTTCCTATTTAATTTTGATCATAGGACTGGACTTAGCTGCAAGTTAGCGAGTAAGATACTATACTAACGGATGGAGTTTCATTTAATGCAGACACGCTACATTAGCAGAATCGTAAACTAAAACAAAAATTAATGTAGAAAGTGAGCGAGCCAAGGAATGACTAGATCCTCAAGTAAAATGTCTCTCTTCAAAACGTCGTCGTCGTGAAAACTTTATCTAAAGAAGGTAGAAATACTTGCTAGAGAATTGTGTACCCTTGATCCTAGCAGGTGTGTATATTTATCAGTACAAAACAAAGAAACAGGATGTTTTGAGAATTAATAGCCCACCCTTGGTTTTGAGACAGGTGAGCACAATTAGTGGGAAGATTTTTTGCAATCGCTTATTCTTGAGCTCGGGGAAAATTAATGAAAAATTAAATCAATTTCGTTGTTATCTATCAGTTGTGTGGAAAATGTTTCAAAATGGAGGTCTCCTATTAAAGTTTCTTCAAAGGAAAAAAAAAGTTTTCAATTTGATGGTGAAAATTATCGAAAAGAAAATGTTGAAGAATTGTCACGAGCGTGAGAAGTAGAAAAAAAACTGAGATCTCTGTGAAGGTGAGGATCTCAGCCAGCTTTAAACTGAATCGATGTTGGATACTTTGCCATCTTAGAACTTGTTTGTGAACAAGTTCATATATCGGCTGTAAATCTAAAAGTGATCACCAAAAAAGTGAATATGAAGTTCAGAATAAATCTCCCGCACTAGCCATATGTATCAGTGAATGAACTGAGAACGAAGACGGCACGGTTCGCATACGAGGAAAAAGAAATACTTTATTTGACCTATATGACCATTTATCAAGTCACATTATCTGGAAAAAAAAAATTCTCTTCTTTGCCTTTTCTTAAAAATTAAAGTAATAACTTGTTGCAAAGTTGCTAGACGGCGAGAAGGGTGGGGTATGGAAAGTGGGTGATTCAGTCCACTCCCCGCCCCCGCCCCCAAAAAAAGATTCTACTTCCTAGTAAAGCTAAAACTCACAATTCTCTAAATCTGATCATTCTTTCGATTGTAGATGGGTGACATTAGAACAGAGGCGTTTCCGACTAAAAAGCTGGACTCGCGACAAGATTCAGAACTGGATCGTCCGGTTATTGAGTCTCGATTGGATTCCAGAATGGACTACTACGCCAGCAAGTTGGCTCTACGCGCGAGCCTGCGCTACACTGGAGAGGATGACCAGTGGCAGACCAGTCGCAGTTCTCTTCGTGAAAGAAATGAATACATGTTCAACCGCGAGTTGTTTAGTGATGTGCGTTTCCTGGTTGGCAGGACAGAGAAAACATCCATTCCTGCCCATCGGTATATACTGGCCATTAGTAGTCCAGTGTTTTCTTCTCTTTTTTACGCGTTTGGGGCACTTCAGACTGAAGTAACTTCGCGAGAGCAGGTAAACAAAAATATAAATAAACACATAGACAAATTAACAAAACAACTCAAACTATTAAAGTTTTAATTTGTTTATATTTTGTGGTCTTGTTGATTGTCGGATGTGATGCCAAATTGTGGAAGCAATGTCAATCTATGAACGAGGATCGGTTTAAATTTTAGAGAGGACAAGCTCACTTTTATGCAGGGTGGGGAACCATGTCGACTTCGTAAAAGCACTCGCCAGTCACTAGCCAAGATTCAAGGTGTCACGTGCCTAAACTAAAACCAACTCAACAATGTTTATTTCCCAATAGCGAGTACAAAACTACTGCCGGTACCAGTGTGGGGAGTAGGCCAACCTAAAAAAAAAAAAGAATTGTAATCGCTTCATATTCATGGTCAGGATTCCTCAGGAAATGGCTTCCCTCATACTATCAGTTAATTGGCAGTCAATTTTCTTTAGTTCCTCCTTTGTACTCTGTTGGCGACGACTGACCCCCCTTCCCCACTCCAATCCCCCTGAAAACCTTGTGATCCCCCAACATCCTCCGCTCTCCCCTCCCACGCGATCAATAATGACTGATCCTTTGTCAACTTCTAGTTGATAGCCAACTGTGTTTCCACTAGTACTGACCTAGCGCCTGAAATTTGTCGTTTTAGGTAGAAATATCAGAGTGTGAACCGGAATCGTTTCTGGAGATGCTCAGGTATATGTACTACGACGAAGTGCAGCTGACCATAGATAACGCACCAGAAGTCTTGTTCTTAGCCCGGAAGTACCTTATTCCAAGCTTGGCGGAGATCTGCACTGAATTCATCGCAAGTAACTTAACTGTAGCGAATGCTCTTCCCGTATTGGACCATTGTTGTCTGCTTGGAGTCAGCAAAGGCCTGGAGAAGCAATGTTGGACTATCATCGACCAACATGCTTCGGAAGTAGCTCAGGACCACCAATTCGTAAATATCGACCACGGCACACTTACAGCTCTCTTGAAACGCGACACCTTAGTTGCCAAGGAAACAGTACTTTTCCAAGCAGCTGTGAAGTGGGCGGGGCGAGAATGCCAGCGCTTGTCACTTCCGGTGACAGTTGAGAATAAACGCGAGGTTCTGGGGGATGCGTTCTATTCCATTCGTTTCCCATTAATGAACATGAAAGAATTCACTGAGAATGTGGCTCAGTCATCTTATCTGAGCCACGAAGAAGTTGCAAATATGTACGTCGGTTTCAACTCCAATTTCCAGTCATGTAAAGTGAGATTTCCAACAGAGCCTCGTGGTGGTTTTACCCGCGCTGAGCATCGTCAAGAGCCAGTCTTTCGCTGCACGCGTTTCGAATCAACAGCGGTGCGCCCAAAGTGGACGGCAGTCACGCCGCAGCAATCCACCGTGAAATTCAAGGTTAACCAGCCGATCAGCTTAACAGGCGTAGCCCTGTATACGCCTGTCATGCAATCAGCCTCGTCGCGTTTTAAAATTGAGCTGCGTGACTGCAACGATTCTATGCTAACGTCACATCAAGCAGATCTTGATAACCGGGACGATGATAGTGACACGCAAGACGTCATATTTTCAGAAGGGATAAAATTACAAAATGATGTGATCTATTCAATCACTGTTACGTCAGAAGAAGTCTTGGAGCGCTTTGGAGAGGGGCAGAGGAGTGATATCCGCTGTGAAGGCGTCGATTTTGAGTTCTTTGAGGAATCAGGGGATGAAGAAGTGACAGGACAAATACCAGAACTTTTGTTTCAGCCTTTCAAAGAGGCACCATTATCAAAGGCTTTTGCTGAAGACTATTAGAAATTTGCTGACCTAATGCCGGACTACTAAACTGGAATTTATGTTGTCAAGTAGGGTATTTACTTTAAAACTCTTTAACAGGGTTTGCTTCGACTTGGTGAAAACTTAAAATAAGCAACGAGCCAAAGAATTTGTAAAGAATACAACACGTTTGCTGGGCGATCAATTGCGGGTTAGAGAACGGCGTAATCTCTTTGGGAATTGAACTCAGGGGAACGCAGTTTGGAAGTTTCAGGCCCAAAGCCGGAGTCGAGTCGATTGAGACTTTTAGTCATGCCAACCAAAGAAAATAACGTTTAAAAGACCAGACTTATAGACTGTATTTAGGTAATAAAGTTGAGATTAAGTTACTGATCATTTCCTACAACATCAGGTCGCATTAACAGTGAAATTTCACTATTGCACTCTATTCTAAATTTTACACTAGTATCAACTTGGGCTGGGATCTTGCACTTGTGACAATACTTTTCTCATTCGTTCAAACATCTTTGGTATCAGTTCCAAGTGTGTTGTACAACACTGATCCACACACACATCCAGTTCAGCCTGATACTTTTTCAAATCAGACTGCGTTGTAGTTGGGTCAACATTGTCTTGGATTTTGTCTTGGCACTGTTGAGCACATCGCCCCAGGCGATCCTAGGTAAAGAAAACAATTAACAGTTAACCGCAACCCTCGAGAGTCACATATTATACTTCCTGATACTCTCAGAGCAGAGCCACGTAAAAGCATCCTTTTTTCATGGTAGCATTTTTGAGCGGGTGTAAGGTAATAACATGATTTTGAGTGAAATTTGGCATTAATGAGCACAGGTAATTTTCTCAAAGACGACAAAATTGCAGTTTGTAGTCTTTGAAAAAATGTAAAAGTGCTTAAACCAAATTGGACTAAAAATCATGTTACAAATTTGTAAATAATATACATGAAAAAAGGATCACACAAAGTAACGACAGTTCAAATTTTGACAGCATGCACACAATTTGTAATTTGCACTTGTGTTACAACTTTAAACTTGGGTTTCATGAAAAATGCATTCCTTTTCAGCCAATCAGATTTATGTACTTGTTTCATCATATCATTAACATAATATACCATAAAAACCTGTAGATAAGCCGCACCCTGAATTTAGCAGGTCAAATTTTGGAAAAAAAGTTTTTTGAAAGAAATCAAAAGAAATCCAAAGTCAAGTCTTGAGAAGTCTTCTTCATCATTGTACATCATTGACATTGCAATGGAAAATACTTCAGTCTTACCCACAATTTTAGCACTTTAATATAATGAACATTGTTTCTACCAATTTTGACATATAATTGATCTTTTTCTGGCATTTTTAGGAATTTCTTCATACAACACAGTTTTTCCATAGACTTTTGCATTACAACAAGAATGTTAGCAGAACATTTGAAGCTTAGTAACCAGGCATTAGATTGGATGTGAAAATAGAAAACTGGACACCTTTCTGACGATGAATTTTGGAAAAAAGGTGTGGTTTATCTGCGTGTTTTTACAGTATATCTATAGTTATGTAAGACAGGTTTTCAATGTAATAAATGTCAGACATGTAACAGACCAGTAGAAATTCAGTTTTTGTCAGTGGTTTTTGATTTCCACAAGCCAGTTTAGCTAGTAAACAAACTGAAATTGTTGTAACATCTAAGTTGTCACAGGTCACTTGGCTAGTAAGTTGAAAAGTTAGTGTCAAGCCCTGGACCCTAAATTAATTTCCTTGCTTCAACTCCAAACCAAAGGAATCGCCTCCTAACCCAACTTAAAGTCTATTCACCTGAAATCCAGTAAGTTCTTTACCAAGGTATTCTTGAATTTGCTGGATGGGTACAAAACACCTGTTCATACATTGCTGTACTTCCTCCTTACTTGATGTTAAATTCTCACAACATTTAGCTGCACACGAGTGAGACTTGGCCTGTTTAGAAAGACAACAAAGAGAAAGTGAATTATACAGATTTCTTTGACACTTTGACCTCTAGGAGCCATTAACATCCAATTTCCCCTTGCAATATCAGCCCTGAATCACATGTCAAGGTCTCAAGGTTAAAAGAAATGATCAACAATTTGAGTTACTCTTGATTTTTATACAAATTATGCTTTTCAGCACCTTAGGAAATGCATATAAAACAGTATGGATATTATCTACACTGATGCTAGAGTGTAAAGACTTAATTGCGATTCACTGGAAAGTATCATTTTGCTCCTTGCTACTATCTGCATGTCAAAATATGACTTAATTCATTTAAATGTAAACAGAATCCTTTATCAGAAAAAGCGCCCCCCCAACATTTACCACGCTCACCAGAAAAGCATCATATGTACACAGCTTGCTTTGTGCTCTTTTTAATTTGCTGCTTTTTATCATCCCAGTATAGCCAATTCATTATTGTTCTCGTTGTTTAAAAAAGTTCCATGAGCAAATTTTCTGTAATTGAGCTTTATTCCAATTAATCCCACAAAATAAAACAAAACAAAAAATGGTGGCCAAACTTTCTGTATGCTACAGTTCACTATTACAGAGGTAACTAAAATTTGTATTCTTGGATATAAACTGAAGTACTCTTTGATACCAAATTAAATTTTTGCCTTCATTTTGCATAATACTATATTTCTTTAGTTTTCGTTTTAATTCCTGCTTGGATTCTAGGTATCATTTCTTTATTAACCCATTCATTCACTATTCCAGGTGTTCTTCTGTTTTTGTCTGTACTTTTTGACTGGTTTCTCATGCATTTCCCTGGATTCACTGAGAATCAGCAAAATGATCACAAAGTAGATGATAAATCTATTTTTCCCTCTGCTAAACCTAATTTACGAGTATGTCAAAACAAACAGCAACCATATCACTCGGCTGCCTAAAGCACAATCTTCCATCTCAGTGCAACTGTAATAATTTCAGAAAGTTTCAAAATTTGTGAATGCAACAGATTATCCAAATCAGGTCCCTTGGAAACCGCACCTGTAGTAGCCCATTTGCAAGAAGAGCTAGGGCATTCCAAAAGATATTTTAGAATTCACAATAAACCCTTGAGACAGGTCGCTTCATTTTGGAAAATTCTAATATTAGCCATCCCGTCAACACAGAATAAGGAACATCATGTTAAAGCAGATTTTATAGGGGGTGTGACTGGCCGAACAAAATTTTCGTGGATTTGTTTTGGCAAAACAGCGTGCATTCTAGAACATTTGAACCATTACTACATTTTTTCGGCTAATGTCAGTATAAATAAACATTGTAACAGAGAAATCGTTTAAAGAAATGCCAGGATCGGGGTTTAATCAGGCGGAATGGTGGGAAAGCCGATATTTATTTTACGTACCTCTCAGAGTCGACACAGATCATGGCAAAATAACTCATATTTCAACAGAAAATTTCGTTAAAACACACTTAATTGCTACATATATATCTATATAGATATATATATCAGTTTATTTTTTACTGACCTGAAGCCCTCTCAGCTTTTCTTTTTCTAGCTTTTCTATCGATCTCTCCACTTCTTCTTTCACACGTGTTTGAGAAGCACTGGCAGCCATATTGGAAAATATAGTGGAGAGAAGACTGGATCCAAGACAGCCGAGCGTCCTCTCCTCTGATCGAATCTGGTGTAAAGCTTTGGAGGCTTAGATATCCTTGTACGATGGTCGTGGTCCACAAAGGAAATACCGTGATTATTCGAATACACGCCTCCCTCGAATAAACGCCGCCTTCGAATAAACGTCGCAGGGACAAGCAAAAATATCATTAAACGCCGCCCTCGAATAAACGCCGCAATCTTTCTCGACATTGCGGCGTTTATTATAACCAATGTAAGTAATTCAAGTACCTATCTTTAAAAACAAAAGACAACATTCAATCTAAACCAGTCGTGGAAATTTATTTTTCTCGGTTGTAATGTTATACAGTTCAAAGTGGCTATACTGCACAGCTTTGCTGCTAGCTGCTTAGCTCTCTCTAAAACTTCTGCGATACGCAATTCCATGGTAACAGTCGAGAATCTTGCCGGTACAACTAGTTCGATTTCTCTCTTTCTTTTGCCAGTGACTTTCGCAAATAAGTTGTTCTCAGTGTTTGCGCGTAGGAAGTTGTTTAATAAGCGAGACAGCTCAATTGCGTTTTTATCGTGTACTCCGCTTCTGTGCGAGTATCTTGCTCACATTCGAGTATTTCATCAACTACGGGCGTCCACACAGACTTGTAAACATGGTGACGTTTAAATGACACAATAAGTTCACAGTTTTTGTTACAAGGTTTTCAATAAACGCCTCCCTCGAATAAACGCCGCCCTCAAATAAACGCCGCATCTTCAGTGCCAAAAATTTAATAAATGCCGCGGCGTTTATTCGAATAGTTGCGATAACCTCGCGGCAAAAAGGTAAAGACTCAGAGCAAAAGAAAAAACCTCACGGCAAAAGAAATAATCTCACGGCAAAAAGAAAAAGACTCACGGAAAAAGAAATAACCTTACGACAGAAAAAAATAACCTTAAGGCAGAAAAAATAACCTCACGGCAAAAAGAAATAACTCTACGGCAAAAGAAATAACTCGTCCCAGCCCCCACCCTCTCTTTTATGCCGTTTATTTCTTTTGCCGTGCGGTAGTGTTTCTTTTGCCGTGAGGTTTTTTATTTTTCCGCGAGATTATTTCTTTTGCCGCGAGGTTATTTCTTTTGCCATGACAGTTGTGGGCCACCGTATCCTTGGTTCATCTGTTAAACAGCTGTGAAGGCTCCTGAAATGTTTGACAAATAAGGGGGGCGTTCTGTTGCCTTTTAGTGACATCCTTCTCGTAAACGCACGTGCAGCTGTTTGTGCGAGAAAAAAAAAGCTATGACTTAGCAGTGAAGTTAACTTTTCTCGGAAATAGCATAGTACGGTTGCACTGTTGAATCCGCTCATTCAGTTCGCATTCTTCAACTTTTCATCCCCAATACTGATATTTAGTTAATCAAAAGTATTTTTTGCGAACTTTAGTTAGCGTTAAATTGTAACTTTCTAGTCCCATCTAGTCCCGTTGGTTCCCGCACACTGTTTCCGACGTTCTGATAGCTAACAATTTTTCAGAAGAGGTATAGAGGTTTAATTCTTTTTGAAGGCTATTCAGCGTGATACTGCAACCTCGTTCTCAGGGCTTTTCCCGCCCTGCTCTTGCCTGTCGCAGTGTTTTGCCCCCCCCCCCATACGAGGAAAAAAATCCCTGGGAACGGGGTTGATGAAGCTGCAATGATAATGATGACGAATTTTATCTCAGGAAGATAAAAAGAATAAAACACTTTACAATAAACAGCCTGTCATAACTGTGGCCTTCTTGTCTTTCCCGCCGCCGGTGAGTCGCAGGTGGTGAAGAGTTTTCTCTGATGATCGCGTTTTGATGTTGCGGAATTCGCCGTTCCCAAACAAGGTTTCGATTTTACTTGCTCTGCGTTGTGGGAAGGCCGTGAGTACCCCATGCAGGAAGCTATAGATCGTAATCACGAACCGACTCTCGCTCCTGAATTTTCTAGATGTAAATCGGTGCCTTGTGTGCAGAGCGTGTAATTACGGAATTCTTTGTAATTTTATTGATCAACTGGAAGATGAAAGTGTTGGGTAGAACTTTGGCGATTAACGATAAAATGTAGGAGCTAATGCTTCACTATGTTTAACCAACGTAGAAACCTGGATATTTTGGTAGCAATGACACATGTATAAAACGATAAAATGTGCAATGTGAAAGGGTGAACTGAAGGTTCTTTTTTTATTTTTACTGCTATGTCTTCTAAGGGATCGGAGGGAAAAAAGGAAACGGAACAGAGCCTACTTTATCAATAAGAAGCAAACTGGTTAATATCTGCAATTATTTTTATTGGCACTTTAATGACATCGACAGAGTTAAAATTTGGGTGTTAACTGGTTTGTCCAAATTAAGACATACATGTAAAATGCCACCGACTTAAGAATGCCTAGCGTGTCTTCAGCTACACTTACAATGCGTTGCTGGACAATTTCCCTTGGCACAATTTGAAGCACACCAAGCATTCATTCCTGCATTGCCAGTCCACGGACCAGCAGCGACACACTTTCCACCTGCACCCCCTCCCCCTGGAGTTGTGGTGGGACCCACTGGAGGTGGAGCTTCGGTAGTGACAGGAGGAGGCGGAGGCGCTTGTGTAGTATCTGGGTTAGGGGGTGGGGCTTGCGTTGTTAGAGGAGGAGGATTGGTAACTGGAGGTGGTTGTACCCCAGAGGTAAGGTATTCCTTGACGGCGTTCATCAGTGGGTACTTGCCTTGTCCGCAGTGCTCTCCAGAAAAGTCATCCAAGTCAATCGCCCAGAACATAACACCTCGTAGTGCGTTCTTCATTACCACGTTATCAATCTTGTATATCAGGCTTGCCGGGTTGTCGTAACCCACCCAGTCCTTATCCTTGTAACCGTACGGCGCCATGGCCTTGTTTTCTTCTACCACCGTCAGTCCCATTTTGCAGATCTCGTAATAAGCCAAGAACCCCTCTGCGCCTGTGTACTGTCCTTTAGGAGTGTATTGGTAATCACGAGCAGCATCAAGACCATTCGTTCCCGGGCTTGCTAACCCAAACGCACGTCCGTATGTGGCCAGACCGAGGACAATCTTGTTAGCTGGCATCCCTTTCCTGATTCCTGGCTTTTCCCATGTGTCTCTGTTGTTCATCCAGTACCACACAGCGAAGGGGAGGGTCAACTTGTCACCTTCTGGCCCCATAGCAGCGTGGTGCCCTGTCTTGTATTCCCATGTACCGTGAAGATCATACGTCATCAAATTGATCCAGTCAAGGGGCTCAGCAATAGCAGCAATGTCGTATGCACCTTTGATGGTCCAAAGTCCTGCAGCCACCGCTGCAGTTAACAGCAAGCGCTCTTTCCCAGTCGCTTTAGCTTCTGCCTCGAATGCAGCTCTTAGCTCTTTACAAAGAAGAGTAAATCGTCCCTTATCACTTTTGGGAGATCCACCGCGCATGCCAGGGTACTCCCAGTCTAGGTCCAGACCATCGAATCCAAACCATCTCAGAGTGTCAATGGACGACTTGATAAAGATCGCTCGCTTCTCCTTCGTCGCCACCATCATAGAAAATGGGCTGTCTTTCTCTTCATGAGTCCATCCACCAACAGCGATTTGAGTCTTCAGCTTTGGGTTGGCTTTCTTGAGTGCATTGATTCTTTCGTACAGATCGTGATCGTTCTCTTCGTAGATCTCCAATGTGTGAGTTGTTTTGCTGACCTGTGCAAAGGAGAAGAGTACATGAGTACATAGGAATGGATCGATGTCTTCAGGCCAGAACGTTCCTCCTTTGGGTCGATACTGGGACCAATTGGTGTAGTAACATCCACGGATGTATTCTGAAACCGCAGGCTGGAAAACAAGTACACAGCCAAGGAGCAGAGAGATCAACACCAATTTCATCGTTAATACTCAGTGATGTTCTGGCAGGAAACTATCTTGCGAGGTATTTGAATACTAATGGTGTTTTTATATAGGCTAAGCCCCAAGAAAGGTTGGATTGTATGCAACACCTGTTGTTTGTATTTTTGCAAGGTGCACGTTTCCGTTGACAGCTATCCATCGGAAGTAGCATCAGTTGTTCAAGCATGTCCTTCACTTGCGCGCATGCAAAAATAGTTGTTCAGCGGTCAGCGTCATTTTCGCCAAACACTGTACTATGTTTCAGTTTATGCGTCTCGCCCCCACTATAAGTGCCAAAAATTGCGCATTATTTCTAGACACACAAAGGGATTTTTGAACTGCATTTAATGACAATGTCTAAATAAAGTTTATCCCAGGAGCATGGACGCGCGGGATGTCTCGAGACGTGTAAAAGAGCCAGACATCGCGAGTTTTGCTTAAATACAACGCAAATGAATTTCAACTGACCTGAGAACCGGGTTTTCTTTCAGAAATATTCCGCATCACTGTGATCTACAGTAAATATTGTAAACTTATTCACTCCAGGGATTTAAAGCACCCAGCATTTGACTATCTTATCATATTTACACTCCATTATCTGTCAATGAATGGGCAATAAAATTTTATTGTATTGTAGTGTATCTGCAAACTTTTAGTTGGTTCTCAGCTGTTACCTGTTTACCAAACACAGCATGCCAAGATGTTGGTTATTTGCACAAGTATTGAATTTTCTTTCTGCGATAGGTGAAGTGAGAGTAAACTAACACTGCTTCTGAAAAATGGTGTTGTTGACCTGTCTGCAGGTGTTGGCCGCTGATCCTGTGAAAAGTTTTCAGATTTTTTTTTACCATCTCTATGACTGAGCGTTTTTTCTTCTTCATAGTCGTAGCTTTGTCGTCAGGGAATAAAATGAATAATATAAAAATGTTTTATTACAAGCTTAAACCAGGTCGTTGCACAAAATAGAACCGAAGTTCCATCCAAGTACCGTTTCAAATGTACCCGCACTTATAATTTTACGGATTTAATTTTTTTTCTCTTTATTGTAGTAAATTATTTTTGGAAGGCGTTTGTGAAAAGAAAAAGTATTAGTCAGCAGAATATTTCAAGAGGAATCA